ATATAAATAAGTGGAAGCATATATTGTGTTCATGGATTGAAATAATTAACATCATTAAAATGTCCATACTACCCAAAGCAATGTATAGATTCAACACAATTCCAATTAAAATACCAATGGCATACTTCACAGATCTAGAAAAAAATATTCAAAAAATGTATATGGAGCAAAAAGAGACCCCAATATTCTCAACAATCTTGAGAAAGAAGAACAAAGTTGGAGGAATCACAGTACTTGATATCAAATTATACTACAGGGCCATAATAATCAAAACAGCTTGGTATTGGCATAAGAGCAGGAAAATAGATCAATGGAACAGAACAGAAAGCCCAGAAATCGACTCATACCTTTATGGTCAATTAAGTCTCCTCAATAAATGGTGTTGGGAAAATTGAACAGGTACATGCAAAAAAATAAAACTAGACCACCAACTTACACCATACACAAGAATAAATTCAAAATGGATAAAAGAACCCTGGCCACTTTGGCTCAGCAGTTAGAATGTCAGCCCTCGGACTAATGAATCGCAGGTTTGATTCTGCTCAAGGGCACGTCCTGGGTTGCGGTTCGTCCCCCGCCCTGGTTTGGATCATGCAGGAGGCAACCAGTCGATGTCACATCAATTATTTCTCTCTCCTCTTTCCCTCTTTTTCTCTCTTTCTCCCTCTCTTCCTCCCACTGTAAACCATAAAGCCTCGAAACCATAGAAATCCTAGAAGAAAACATAGGCAGTACAATCTCACACATTTCTTGTAGCAGTATTTTTGCCAATATATCTGCTGGGGTAAGGGAAACAACGGAAACAATAAACCAATGGGACTACATCAAACTGAAAAGCTTCTGCACAACAAAGAAAGAAACCACCAACAAAATGAAAAGGAAACCTGCTGAATGGGAGAACATATTTGCCAATGATATATCTGATAAGGGGTTCACTTCCAAAATATACAAAAATCTTATACAACTCAACATTAGGAAGACAATCCAATTAAAAAATGAGAAAAGTGAAAAAAAAAAAGCCCTTACCGGTTTGGCTCAGCGGTTGGAGCGTGGGTCTGCGGACCAGAGAGTCCCGGGTTCGGTTTCCGCTAGGGGCACGTACCAAAAGAAAATGAGAAAAGGATCTGAATAGATACTTTTCCAAAGAGAATATACAGATGGCCAATAAACATGAAAAAAGGTTCTACGCTCAGTCACTAATCATCAAAGAGATGCAAATTAAAACCACATTGAGCTATTACCTCACACCTGTGAGAATGGCTATCATCGATACATCAACAAACAAGTGCTGGTGAGTATGTGGAGTAAAGGGAGCCCTCCTGCACTGGTGGGGGGTCCGCAGACTGGTGCAGCCACTGTGGAAAGCAGTATGGAGTTTCCTCTAAAATTTAAAAATGAAACTGCCTTTTGACCTAGCGATCCCACTTCTGGGAATTTATTCGAAGAAATACGAACCACTAATTAGAAAAAAAAAATGTGCACCCCTATATTCATTGCATGTTATTTACAATAGCCAAAATCTGGAACAGCCCAAGTGCCCATCAGCAGATGAGTAGATAAAAAAGCTGTGGTACATGTACACAACGAAATACTACTCGGCCATAAAAAAGAAGGAAATCTTACCTGTTGTGACTGCATGGACCTGGAGAGTATTATGCTAAATAAAATAAGCCAGTCAGAGAAAGACAAATACTATATGATCTCACTTACATGTGGGGTCTAATGAACAAAATAAACTGACGAACAAATTAGAAACAGAGGTTTGGATACATGGAATAGACTAACAGCTGTCAGAGCAGAGGGGGTTGGGGAGACTGGATGAAAGAAGGTGAAGGGATTAACAAAAAGTGTGGTGATAACCAGAGGGAAAAGGGTCTGGGGTGGAGGTGGGCAAAGTGGGGATAAATGTGGATGGAAAGAGACTTTGCTTTGGTTGGTGGTTACGATGCAGAGTGCAGATGATGTTTTATTGAGCTGTACACTTGAAACTTATATGGTTTTGCCGATCAATGTCACCCCCAATAAATTCAATAAAAAAAACATGAAAAATGGCATTTTTGCTTCTCTTGCACCCCTCCCCCCATCAACCTTCTCCTACAGGCAGAGCCGCTGGACAGCTGGAGATCCTGCACCCTCAGGTGCCTGGGGCGGGGCTGTCCTGATGAGGTCACCACACACCAGGAAGCAAGAGAGGGCATATTATTTGTGGGTTTCCAGCTCCAAAAGAGAGAGCCGAGAAGGGGCTGGCCTGAGATCCCCAGAACAGTCTTTGTTCTCAAGGGGCTCAGGGGAGGGGAGAGAGTGAGGGGTCTGGAGAGAAGAGCAGAACTATGTTCCTGATACTTCCAAGAGGGCCAGAATTTCTGTTTTATGGAAGGAGACAATAACACAGGGAGAGGGAGAACATTTCCCCTGCTCCAACCTTTCCATTGTCAAAGTAAAATCCTCACTTTGCAATAGAAGTCAGAAATAGAGGTGATGGTTGGGGGTGTGGGGAGGGATACTATCTACATGAGCAGTATCAAGGCTCAGCTCAGCCAGCTAATTTAATCACATCTCTTCTAAAACATTTCTTGGCACCTCTGTACTAGCTGTAGAGTCCAGGTGAATCTCCTTCTCAGGGCAAGTCCCTTCCTGAGCAGCCCCTGGCCCCTCTGCAATGTCATCTGCTCCCCTGGCACCTGTCTTGCAATTCTTCACATCTCTAGGCTTTTATAAATGACATTTTTTTTCTCTCTCTCTCTCTCTACTTGGCTACTTCTTCAGTTCTCAAGGTCAGGCAATTTGAAGAGCAGTTTGAGGCAGATGAGTTTTACTTATCTCTATATGCTCCAGCCTCTCAGTGTGTTTGTCTTCAAGGAGAAACCAAGTATCAGCTCAAAGGAAAACCTGCCTGGTACCCCTAAGCTGTGCTGGGGATTCTCGTTCTCCCTCCCAAAGCGCTTTAACACATCCTTATAGTTCTAAGGCTATAATTTAAATGTTGTTTGTCTTTCTTTCTGAGGAAAGAGACATGTCTCATGCATGACCACACCCCAGTATTAAGCCACAGTACCCGGCACATAATAGATGCTCGATAAATTGTTTTTTGAGTGAAATCTCTTCTGAATCTCCACAACGTGGGAAGCACCATGCTGGGCACTATTAGAGGGTTACAAAGCTGAATCTCTGATCTTAATGGGGGTAGGGGGAATAAGACACAAAACATTCGCATATCTTATACAAGGCACTGTGAGATAACTTGAAGATAATGCCATAGAAATTTAAAGAGAACATTTCTGACTTATTGATGGTAAAAATGGCCACATGCCCTCCTTTCCACTTGGAAATCGACTCTTATCTGTTAACTATTTCTTAATGGGTTTAGAAGTGTCTTTCATTGTGTGGCTTGGATCTCTTCTGAAGGTACTTGGGCATAAAAAAATAAAGAAAGAAAATAGCCCTGGTCAGTTTGACTCAGCGGTTAGAGCATCGGCCAGCGGACCAAAGAGACCTGGGTTTGGTTCCAGCCAAAGGCACATACCTCAGTTGTGGTTTGTCCCCAGCCCCTATTGGGGTCGTGCACGTGGCTGCCAGTCAATGTGTCTCTCACATCGATGTCTCTCTCTCTCTCTCTCTCTCTCTCTCTCTCTCTCTCTCTCTCTCTCTTCCTCCCTTTCTCCCTCCTGCTCTATCTGAGGATGAATGAAAAAAGTGTCCTCCAGTGAGGATAAAAAAAAAAAAAGAGAGAGAGAAAGGATTTCCAAAGTGGAATTTTCCAATACTTCTATAAAGTGGGGCATGGGAAAGCATGCTTGTTGTGGGGTTTAAACAGAAAGTTAAGAGCTGGCAAGTGCCTCTTCAGTCAGCATATAAATTAGTGTGACTGACACATCATTTTCTTTTTCTTCATTTTCATTGTCAGAGACAAAGAGGAGAATACTGAACTTGAATAAACATTCTGTCTAAATGCACCAGGTCTCTTGATCTTTTTTTTTTTAATCCTCACCTGAGGACATTTTTTTTTTTTTTGCATTTATCTTCAGACAGAGTAGGAGGGAGAGAGGGGGGAAGAGAGAGAAACATCGAGTGGTTGCTGCCCCCACGACCTCAATTGAGGCCAGAGACAAACTGCAACTCAAGTACCAGGTACGTGCCCTTAGCGGAAACAAAGGAACCCCTGACTCTCTGGTCCGCAGGCCGACGCTCTAACCGCTGAGTCAAATTGGCCAGGTCTCCCTTGATCTTTCTAAAACTCAGGATTCTGTCCCGCTGCTGTGGCTCAGTGGCTGAGCCTCGACCATGCATCAAGAGGTCGCCAGTTTGATTCTCGGTCAGGACTCATGTCCAGGTTATGGGCCTGATCCCCAGTGGGGAGCATGCAGGAGATGGCCAATGGATGTTCTCTCTCCGCATTTCTCTCTCTCTCTCCCTCTCACTTCGTCTCTCTCTAAAAACAAACAAACAAACAAACAAACAAACAATCAATAAAGGAAAATAAATAAATAAAACCCAGGATTCTCATTGTGTCATTCATTTGGTAGTAATCACTTCTTTGTGAGTTCTCAGAAACAGTTTCCTACTGCTTTTGTTTATTTAACTTCCTCTGTCTGTGTCTTTAGTACCCTCAAGAGGTGAGGCCAGCAGAGGACACAGGCTATGTCTTTGTGTGTTCCAGCCCCCTTCAGCATCCAGCACAGGGCCTTGCACAGAATAGGTGCGAGTTCTATAAATGCTGTTCAGGAATTCATGAATGAGTCCTTAGGAGGAAAGAAGATGAAACACTGCAGTTATGGCGAGAAAGAATCGTTCTCAGTTTATTTCAGATATAAATCAGCTAGTCAGCGCAAATTGTGTTTCTATAAGCTCACCAGGTGCAAGGAAGGGTTTTGGCTGAGATTGAGAAATTCAATGCCCGAGAATAATAAAGTGGGAGGGGAACCGAAGGCTCTGAACCTCGAGGAGGAGGCGGAGTCATCGAGAGTTGGAGCATTTCTGCCCAATCAAAAGGAGGCAGTAGGAGCAGGAGGGGGAGATAAAGGGGGAGCGGGAGATCGTGAATCCTGCCCAGTTACACAAGCCCGGCCTCCCGAGCAGCAGCTTCTCGGCTTAGGTGTTTCTGCCCAGGGAGAGCGGTCAGTCCCGAGGCCGGCTCCAGCAATGGCCTTTGCAAGTCTACAGAAAGTGCTCATCAGTGATAGCCTGGACCCTTGCTGCCGGAAGATCCTGCAAAATGGAGGGCTGCAGGTGGTGGAGAAGCAGAACCTGAGCAAAGAGGAGCTGATAGCCGAGTTGCAGGTAATGCGAGCAGGAGAAAGACAATAGCTGGGTGGCATCTTCGGCGGAAACAGGCTGGCCGCGCCCCAGCCAGCGCGCCACCCCCCCACCCCCACTCCCCGTCGGGGGTATCAGTGAGTCCTGGGGCCTCCTGATTTAGGGGCTGGGGGGAGGGGGAAGGAGGGAGGAACAAAAGGCGGTGAGCTGCAGAATGTAAACTTTCCGTTCAGTTTGCAACTGCGCGTACCACGTTGGCTTGCTACCCGCGAGCAGTGCGCTGTGCAGGCTGCCCGCGGGATGCCAGCGCGGCTCCCCAGCGCCTCGGCGCCGTGGCCCTGGCCGCCGGGCGCTGTGCAGGGGCACCCGGGAGAGGCGCCAGAGTGGCTTCCCTGTGCGGGAGCCGGCGGTCCTCCCCCGACTGAGCCCTGGCTCCCTCGGCCGAGTTTTGCCTTCCTGGGGGGCGCCGGCCGAGTCCCAGCCGGTCTCGTGGCAGCCGGGGAAGCTGCAGGGGAGGCAGCAAACGTACCCGCCTTTCGTCTGACGCAAGACTGCTGAGAGTTTTCACCGCCCCTCGGCCTCCTGGGAGCGGAGGAAACGGGCGCGGGCGGGGGGCGCGGAGAGCCGGGGCCGCCCTTGCGGCCGCCGCGGCGGGGTCTCCGCACGTGGCCCAGGCGGATGGCCTCACCTTGGCCTCACCGCTGGTTAGGAATGACCAGACTGGACTCGAGTCGACCCCAGGCGTCCCCAGGAAATCGGTATTTCTTAGCAAATCTTTCCCAGGAACGTATCTCGGTTTGTCGTGATATAGAATGAACACAGTCTACTTCACATGTTACTCTGCCTTGGTTGTCAGGGTCCTGTGAGGTTTGGTGGCCTCGTCCGGTGAATGTTATTTATTTTGTGAACTCTTCACTTCGGCTCCTGCACTTCTGTACTGCACCCAGCATCCCGCTGTCCACCACCCCCACCCCACCGCACCCCACCCCACCCCCACCCACGCGGTGTAGCCTCCACCAACCTCAACCAGCCTCTGCGTGGATCCGCCCCCTCCTCCCGTAGGTCCTCCCCGGGTCCTTAAATCAAACCACAAAGGCGGCTGCTGTTATTTTCGCCATGCCGCAACCGCGTGGTCTCACAGCTGCTTGTGCCCGCTTCTCTGCGGTTGTATCTGCTGCCGTGTTCTCCATGGACCCCCCACCCCTCCCCCATGTGCTGTTTGCAGGAATCCACCCTGCCCTGTACTCAGCGAAGTTTCTGACCGGTCCCTGCCTTCAGGAAGCTTGTAAGCTAGTTAGGGAACCTGGCCAAACGGCGATTGAGACTCTTGACCAGATGTTTGGTAAATGAGACCACCTAGTAGCCCGGCCGCTGCCTGCTCTGTCGCTGCAGAATTGGTGATCGCCTGGATGGGGTTGGGGGACAGGGCTCGGAACCTAATCCCAGGAGCAGGATAGGTCGACTTGGGAGGCAGACGCCTCACACTTCTCACCTCCTCTTTGTATGATGGTATCAATGACCTTGGCTCTGGGCTGTGGCCAGAAGGCAATGGAGTGGCCTCTAGCCCGGCTCCAGACCCTCACCTCCACCAGATCACTAGAATGGGAAAAGTGGCCTTTGCTTGGGGCTTTGTAGCTTTCTCATGGAAATTAGAGATCCTGTGCCTGCAGAGGGAGGTTGGGGAGAGGTGGTCAGGGATAGGTGAGTGTGGAATTGGGAAGAACGGGAGGCCTCCCCAGTAGTGGAGGGTTCAGAGAAGTTGGGAAGACAGCCAGGTGGGTGCTGGGAATCTGGAGCTGAAATCTGGAGGCCGTTTTAAAGGCGCTATGAACTGGCAGGACTAGAGGGGTGTTTCTTGGCTAGACTGCCAGGCATCCTTGGGCTGTTTTTGTAAAACACTCGGTTGGGAGTGCTGGTTAGTCTCCTTGGCAGCCGACTGCAGGGTCCTCGACTCCACTCTGTGCCCTTTTATTCTACGTGGAGAGGCATCTGGGTGAGTGTCCCTGCCCTCCCCCACTGAAATCTTTATAATGTTGAAGGAAGCTCCAACACATCGCCTGAACCAGGCCTGGCCTCTGTTCCCACTCCTTCGTGTTCCGGGCAGGCACGCTTTGCTCTTTCACTCCCCCAGAATGGTCCTCTTCAGACGTGCAGCAAGTCACAGCTAGTCCATTACTGGGCAATGAAGTCGATTTAATGGGTCATGATTAGCATTAAAACACACACACACACACACACACACACACACACACAAAGACCTATCAGAGAGCAGCCCAGGTAGTAAGGCTAGTATTATGTCATGAAATTTGTTTTTCATTATGTGTGTAGTTGTGGGAGGTGTGTAGGGTATGTGAGTTTAAAATCACAACTTAATCATGTGTTCCTTAACTGGGGGTCTTAGTCAAAAATGTTAAGAAAACACTGGCTTGGAATAATAAAGCACCTTCTTTGGAACTCACAAAACTCAGACTGTGTACCCCTCTAACAGTGGGTGCCACTTCTTAAATCTACTGTGCAGGAACATTTATATCTTGCTATGGATCAGTGGCTTTTAAACTTTGACCATGAACCACAAACAGAAATTCATTTTACATCACAACTCAGTACCCACACATATATATATGTGCACACACATTAAAGTCAGTACCCTTACTATTTGTGATGCGTTTGCGTATTTTTTCTGTTCCATTAAATAGCAATGCTGGTCAGAATCCATTAGACCACAAGCTGGTAATGCATTTCCACTTTCATCTCAGAATTTTAAGAAAGATAAAGGAGATAAATTTCCATACAAGAGCCTTTTGCAAGTTTCATTTAAAATAAGAACTTCCAGCCTGTATACCAGGATTTAGTTTGCAAACGTTAAATAATTCCCTACTTAGTCAGTGCACTTCGCTGCCTACCTGCATCCTCTATAGCTGGGAGCATGACCTGGGCAGTTTCTTCCTCTTCCTCTGCAATGTAAGGCAGAGGCATGAACTATGCTAGAGTGGCCCCCGAGGCCAAGCCTGCCCTCCTTGGGAGAGGAAGCATGTGTGAACTTGAGGAACGTGAATGGGTTTTCCACTGCTGAGTTAGCAGTTTGTCGGGAACAGTCACAAATCCAGAACAGTGGCCTGCTGTCTTGCAGCTCTGAGACAGCTGAGAGATGGGGACCAGGTGCCTGTTCCAGCTGGCACTCATAACACTGTTACACACTCAGCTGTTGGCAGTGGGTTGACAGTGGCAAGTGCGTGAGGCCCGTTCCCACCCTGGGAGTGCCAAAAGGGACCTCGGGGATGCTGGAGGAAAAAAGTTAAAATCACAGCAAAGTGAGGATGAATCACATTACAGAGGATTTGCAAAAGGCTGCAGTTTGCTACATGAAGAGAGGAGAGGAGTGGGCAGTATGGAGCCAGATTTTGGAGGAATGACATGTGGTCTGAGAAGGGGATGATGACTAGGAGTGCCCATTATTTTGAGGGATCAGCGGGAGATTGTCTCATTAAATATGTGCTGATTGAATAAGTGGATGCTTCAATTTAGTGAAGCTGGGGTTGTGGAGGGTGTAAGAGGCCTTGGAAACTAATGAACTCTGGTCACATGGGGTGGGACCCGGCTCTGCTGCATGGGAGTCTCCGAGGGCCGATTGCGCTCTTGGTACAGGCAAGCTCAGAATACACATCCCTACTGGGTTGGCTGGAGACTCTTCAGACTTCCTGATTGCAAAGAAAGATGGTTTGAAGGACACCACTGTCAAGGGAAAAGTAGAGACAGGCTGCAGGGTAAATCTCCCTTAGGACCGTCCTTCCATAGAGAGAGGCTAGGCTGGTTAAAGAAAACTAGTGCCGCCCTGGCCAGTTTGGCTCAGCGGTTAGAGCGTCAGCCAGCGGTCCAGAGTGACCCGGGTTCAGTTCCTGCTAAGGGCACGTACCTCGGTTGCAGTTTGTCCCCGGCCCTGGTTGGTCGTGTGGGTGGCAGCCACTCGATGTGTCCCTTTCACATCGATGTTTCTCTGTCTCTCTCTTCCTCTCCCTCCCTCCCACTCTATCTAAACAAAAAATGGAAAAATGTCCTTGGGTGAGGATAAAAAAAAGAAAGAAAACTAGTGCTGTTTCTGAGCTTGTCCTCAGGGCCTGCAAGAATGGGGTGGACAGCCGGGGAGCCTTCGTCCTCCCCACAGCCAGTCTGTTCTGTTCTGGGGGAAGCAGATGCCCAAGGTTTGGGGAGGGTGGTGGCAGCTTTGGAGAGAATCTTCATGGAGACCAGACCCTTGGGCTCATTGCGTAGAGTATGGGGAGCAGGACTGGGCCTGAGATGTGGGCGCAGAACTTGATACTAGAGGCAAGGTGATTAGATTGTAGTCTCTGGCCCCTCTTGTTAGTTGAACTTTGACCCTTGGTCCTGGGCTGACCACTACATATAGGAGGTTTTATTTCCTCAGTGTGGCTAATTACCTAAGTCATTGCTGGTGGTAAAGGAATACACCTTAAAAATGTGCTCCCACACTGCGAAATTGCCCTCCAAAAAGATTCTGCAATTTACACTCCTTATTTTCCTACACTTTCACCAACATTGAGTATTATCAATGTTTTTTTTTTTGCCAATATGATACCAGAAAATACTACATTTTTTCCCCCAAATAAATTTTATTTTTAAAAGAAAGCATCATGTTTTGATCTTCTGAACCTAATACACAAATTTGGCTTACTACAATCTCATGACAAATTAGGAAGTTCCCTGATTTGATTTTTAAAAATCAATTCACAGAGATATCTAGCAAAGAACATTTAAGTAATCTGAAAGTAATTTAAAATTATGTATACATCACTGGTTCAAGAAAAAATGTCAAACATGGTATTACTTTGATTTGAAAATGAGGTAAACTAAGAAGGGTAAATTAACCTATTATTAAGTTAGCTTTTTTTCCATAAATTCTTCCTTTATTGATTTTTATAGAGAGGGAGAGAGATAGAAACACCGGTGAGAGCCCTGGCCAGTTTGGCTCAGCGGTTAGAGCGTCGGCCTGTGGTCCGGAGAGACCCGGGGTCGGTTCCCGCTAAGGGCACGTACTTTGGTTGCAGTTTGTCCCCGGCCCTGGTTGGTCGTGCGGGTGGCAGCCACTCGATGTGTCCCTTCACGTCGATGTTTCTCTCTCTCTCTCCTTCCTCTCTCTCCCTCTCTATCTGTACAAAAAATGGAAAAATATCCTCAAGTGAGGATAAAAAAAAAAAAAAAAAAAAAAGAAACATCGGTGAGAGAGAACATCGATTGGCCGCCTCCTGCATGCCCCTCACTGGGGATCGGGCCCACAACCCTACATGTGCCCTAACCGGGAATCGAACCGGTGTCAACATTCAACCACTGAGCCACACTGGCCGGGCTATTTTTTTAATTATAGTTGACATTCCATATTATTATTATTTTTTTAATCCTCACCCAAAGATATATATTTTTTCTATCAAGAAAAAATAGATAGAGTGGGAGGGAGGGAGAGAGAAACATCGATCTGAGAGACACACATCGACTGGCTGCCTCCCGCATGACCTGACCAGGGCCGGGGACAGATTGGAATTGAACCCGCGAATCATTGGTTCGAGGGCCGAGACCCTAACCGCTGAGTCAAACCAGCCAGAGCTCCATATTATTTTATATTAGTTTCAGGTGTACAACATAGGGATTAGACATTTATATAATTTACAAAGTGATGCCCCCGGTAATTCTAATACCCACCTGGCGCCACACATAGTTATTACAATACATTGACTGTAGGGTGGGGCAAAAGTAAGTTTACAGTTGTTCATATGGAAAATAATAATACAGGAATAAACTGTTTCCCATACTCAAAACTAAACTTACTTTTGCCCCACCCTGTATATTCCCTATGCTCTACCTTAAAATCCGGTGACTACTTTATAACTGAAAATACCATATTTTACTACTCTCGCATTTCTTTTTTTTTTTTTTTTTTTTCCTCACCTGAGGACATTTTTCCACTTTTTGTTCAGGTAGGGTGGGAGGGAGAGAGAAGAACAGAGAGAGAGAGAGAGAAACATCGATGTGAAAGGGACACATCGAGTGGCTGCCACCCGCACGACCAACCAGGGCCGGGGACAAACTGCAACCGAGGTACATGCCCTTAGCGGGAACCGAACCCGGGTCTCTCGGGACCGCAGGCCAACGCTCTAACCGCTGAGCCAAACCGGCCAGGACACTACTCTCGCATTTCTTTGATATCTAGTGTTTAAGAGTTTTTGTAAATTACTGGCTGCTTTGTTAGTTTTCCCGTAAATTGCCTACCTGCTATATCTTTGCCTTTTTAAAAAAAACTGGGTTGTTGTTTTTTTAATCACTTAAAGAATTAATTGTAGGAAGTCTTGATCATTTTTGCTGATAAATCTTTGTTCTGTTATACATGTTGCAAGGAGTTTCTCTCCAGTCAAGCCCATCACTTACTTGTCTTTAATTCTGTGTATGGGATCTATTTCATACAAAAGTTTAAATTTCAAATGTAATCAAATTTGTTCGTATTTTCTGCTATGGTTTCTGGAACTTACACCTTGCTTATGAAACTTTCCCATCCTGAGAACATAAAAAATCCCCTTACATTTTTTTCTAATGCTTTAATTCATCTGGATTTTAAAATATCTGTAGCAAGATAAAAATTAAATCCTTAACATTTTCCTAAAGCCATTTATTGCCTAGAGCTTACTTCACCCATCAGCTTGAATCCTGCCATTATTATTTTGTAATTTTTTATGTAAATCCCCACACATATGTGGGTCTGTTTGCCTAGTGCCTGTTTGGTTCTGTTGATCCATTTGGCCATTTCTGAAGTTTTCTCCTTCTGGCTCCCTCCCAACTCATTCTCCCTTTGCAGAGAACTCTTCCGTGCTCACATAAGCCTCTTTATCACAGTCAAGAGAAGGGATTTCTGATGCTGGATTTTCAGTCATGTGACCTGCTGGAATATTTGGGGAAGGACGGTGGGGGTGGGGAGAATGGTCACAGGGTTTCCATGGCCTCTCTAAATCACTGGATTCATTTATTCAGCAGAGGGTTTTATTGAGTATCAGCTATCAAAACAAACTTAGCTTTAGGGATGTAAGATACAGGTGAGAAAAGCAAACTGCAGGCCAGAGAGAGCACATCTAAATGTGAGGCAGATAAGAGACTAGGGGGGGCGCAGTTGTGGGGTCCAGGTTGTCTGCAGAGGTTTCATGGAAGGGAAGTCGATTGTGCCTGGAAAAGTTGGTAGAGTGTGGCCAGGCAGGGGGATCCTGTTCTTTGGAGCCAAGTGTGGAATTGGATGTGGGCCAGACAGCGGTGTCCTCTTTCTGCCCAGACATTGGCTGATGTTCAACTAGGGAGATATTCAGAGTACCAGGTGTTGGCCGGCAGCCCAGACGGGGTGGCTTCTGCCTGGTTCCTCTGACTTTTCCATGCCTCGTACACGCCGAGGTCACACCACACACGTGCAGTGGTGACTTGTGGTGTGTCTGCCACTGGGGTGGGGCTGTGACTTATCTTGTGTTGACAGGGTCTAGCACAGTGCCAGATACATATATACCAGGCGCCCCGTAGATGGAAGGAAGAAATGAGGAGGAGAAGGAGACCTGGGCAGCTTCATTTTGAGGGTCTCAGCTTCTCACGTCTCAGGGTCAGTGGAGCCAGGGATGTCCCTTTGTTATTGGAAAGGGGACCTGGCCCTGAGCGGGTTTCCTGGGGCCAGCCGGTAGTGTGGGTTCTTGACTTCGAGCAGGAAACATTTCACAGCACGAGTCCAGGTGAGTTTTAGAGGACGTCCATCAAAGCTGGGGCCGGTGAAACAAGGAAGGGCTGGGAAAATGAGCCTCGGCTGGGCTGCTTTGCCTCGCTGAGAAGTCAGAGAGCCCTGGCTAGTGTGGCTCAGCTGGTTGGGCATCATGCCGTGCACCAAAAGGTCACAGGTTTGATTCCTGGTCAGGGCTTAGGTCTGGGTTGTGGGCTTGATTGTGATCATGGAGGAAGCAGCCGATTGATGTTACATTCTCCCATCGATGTTTCTCTCTCTCCCCCTCTCCCTTCCTCTCTCTCTCTAAAAAAAAAAAAAAAAAAAAAAAAATGTCGTTAAAGGGGGCCTCGGGGACAGGTTCAGGGTGTTTGCCTGGGATGAACTGCCACTGTCCATTGCTGCCCTGGTTGCAAGCGTTGTGGGTCCCTTAGATTTGGGAGATGCATGCCTGTGGGGGCAGTAAGTGTGCGGAGAGGCGCAGGGTGCTCCTGGGAGGGAGAGTGCACCCTGGACCCTTGTTTTGAGAGGTTTCATAGGTTGGGTGTTTAGGGGAGGTCTTAGGGGAGAATCTCAATAGAATATTCATCAACTTTATGTACTAAAATGAGGTTTATTCTCTTAACTTCGTCTGTCCTTGGGTGTGGTTGGCAAAGGGCACTAATTGGATTCCTGTTATCTATGTCCCTGAGTAGGTGATTTCAGCTATTTACAGTCTGGTTGGGGAGAAGTGCAAACCGTTTACTTTTCTCAGTGTCCCGGGTTTAGGCAAGACAGACATGGTTTACTAGATGGCTGCACACTGCTGGTTAACCACCTGCCTCAGTTTCCCTCTCCCGCTGGTCTTGGCGCCGGCCTGTCTCGCCGTGTGCAGGGCTAGCTACCGCGCCAGGTGCCGTGCCTGTCCTCTCATTGCCCCCTCACATTGAGGAGGGTGACGCTCAGATGCACAGCTCATCGGGGGTGGAGCTTGGATTTGGACCCAGAGCTGACTGGGCAGCCTCTCAGGCGTGTAAGCAATGCACGGATGCCCTTGCGTCCCTCTCCTGCAGTAGATCCAGAGTCAGCCAGCACGTGGGGGCTCCGGCTTTGGGCAGAGGAGCTCTAGGAGGTCTTCCAGACCAACCCTGTGGATCCAGATATTTCTTCTCCTGCCTCAGGACTGCGAAGGCCTGATTGTCCGCTCGGCCACCAAGGTGACCGCTGATGTCATCAACGCAGCAGAGAAGCTCCAGGTGGTGGGCAGGGCCGGCACGGGCGTGGACAACGTGGACCTGGAGGCCGCCACGAGAAAGGGCGTCCTGGTCATGAAGTGAGTCTCGGAGGCCGGGGTGGGTGTGGAGACGGCCCTCGAGGAGGGAGGGAAGACGGGCTTTAGAGAACGCGGGTCAGAGTTGGAGGGCGTCCAGGAGGAGGCCTGGGGCAGGCCGAGCCCCGACGGGTGGTCCGTGCTCACAGGTTGGCGTCCGAGGGTGTGACATTGAGGGTCTTTGTAAACTCAGTGCTTCACAAACCCGCCCCACAGATGTTTGCAGGTCTGCAGCCTGGTTGGGGAGTCAGAAGAAAGTGAATTTTATCGTCTCCAGTTCTGCCCTTCCCCCAGCCTTGTTCTGCCGAAGTCGGGTGTCCTTAGCTCCGCTCTTATCTGCACACGAATGCACAGCTTTCCGATTAGACTCTACATCCTTTGTCTTCCTCACCTCCCTGTACCCCTCTGTAGCCAGGACCTCAGTTTCTCTTTCACGCCCCATGGCCAATAGGAGAAGGGTCCCCACTGGAGCTGTTTTTTGCAGAAACCCAGGGGAAAGGTCATGTAAGGTCATGTCAGTAGGCTAGTGCAAGGGGACACTCATTTCTGGCTCCCTCATGGCACTTGGTGAGGCAAGACTGTCCCCATCCAGTGCTCTGCCCCTTGTAGTCCTTTTCCCTTTCCTTGGGAGCCTCACTGTCCTCAAGTCCTTTCCCGCCACTTCCCCCCTATAGGCTAGTGGTGAAATGACCAGTCATCTGACTGAAAGCAGTGTCCAACAGGAGAGATGTTAAATGGTGACCCACCTGACCTCCTTGTCCTGGACCCAGAGACAGCAGCCCCGGGCCCTGCCCCTCTCTGGGCGCCCCCATCCAGCCTGTCCAAGGGGAGCCGGGGAGCCAGGTCTGGTGCAAAGATAGGCTCTGAGAATCCTTTATTTACTTATTTATTTATTTATTTTTTATCCTCACCCAAGGACATTTTTCCATTTTTTGTACAGATAGAGTGGGAGGGAGAGAGAGGAAGAGACAGAGAGAGAGAAACATCGACGTGAAGGGACACATTGAGTGGCTGCCACCGCACGACCAACCAGGGCCGGGGACAAACTGCAACCGAAGTACGTGCCCTTATGGGAACTGAACCCGGGTCCCTCCGGACCGCAGGCCGATGCTCTAACCGCTGAGCCAAACCAGCCAGGGCTATTTACTTATTTTTCCTAAACGAGCTCTCGCCAGTTTTATTAAAGAACAATTTTGCATGATTTACTTTTCACCAGTCTGTTCTGGCATGCTGGTAATGACACCAGGATCACCTGGGTCAGTGATAGCCAGTGTCCACATGCTGTGCCCAGTTCAGTGTCATTCACTGTCGTTATGGACTCCAATCTTGGCTGACATGACCTAGTGCTCTGTTTCAGATGTCCTCAAGGCTGGACACTTGTCAAGGTGACGAGGTCGATTTGCCCTGTCTGGCCATTTTCAGAGGCTACTTGTACCCCACCCAGCACATACTTTCCACTTTTATTATTATTATTTTTTTTATCCTCACCCGAGGATATTTTTCCATTTTTTTGCAGATAGAGTGGGAGGGAGAGAGAAGAAGGGGGAGAGAGAGAGAAACATCGACGTGAAGGGACACATCGAGTGGCTGCCACCCACATGACCAACTAGGGCCGGGGACAAACTGCAACCGAGGTACATGCCCTTAGCGGGAACCGAACCCGGGTCTCTCCGGACCACAGGCCGACGCTCTAACCGCTGAGCCAAACTGGCCAGGGCTACTTTCCACTTTTCATAACAAAAGTTGGAGCCTAGAGTTGATCGATGACTCCAGTGACATTTTCACCTCTTTGTGGCCACCATCTCTCTGCCTCTGTGAGGGATGTCCCCCAACCGAGAGCAGCTGCCAAGACATCTTATAATCCTTTTCTCTGAACCTTTAACAAAATATAGAAAAAAGAAGAAAAAAAAAATATATATATATTTTAATCCTCACCTGAGGATATTTTTACATTTATCTTCAGAGAGAGTGGGAGGGAGAGAGAAAGAGAAAGAAACATTGATGTGAGAGAGACACATCGACCGGCTGCCACCCAGGGCTGGCGACAAACCACAACTGAGGTACGTGCCCTTGGCCGGAATTGAACCCAGGACTCCTCGGTCTGCAGGCTGATGCTCTAACCGCCGAGCCAAACTGGCCAGGGCATCTTTTGACCTTTGTTTTAACCTTCATTTCCAGAAATGAAAAGCCCCAGGAGGGAAGAAGGAGGGTGAACATGTATGTTAATAAATCAAAAATAAAGCCTTTGAAGAAGAAAAATAGTTTCAAGGGTTGCCATCTCTCCTTTCTGTAAAATGGGCACAGTCTGCATTGCTCCGAGTGTGAGGAAGCTTTACACACAGGTGGAGATAAAAATAATTGCTTTGGCCCGGCTGCTGTGGCTCGGTGGTTGAGCATCGATCGACCCACGCACCGAGAGGTCGCTGGTTTGATTCCCAGTCAGGGCACATGCCCAGGTTGTGGGCCCGATCCCCAGTGCGGGACATGCAGAAGAGGGACAGTCGATGTTCTTTCTCATCGATGTTTCTATCTCTCCCTCTCCCTTCCTCTCTCCAAAATCAATAAAGAAAAATTATTAATATATATATATATTCGCTTTGTTACTAATAAAAGCCAGGCTGGGCTTGGTGAAGGTTGGGGCAGTGGGCTGACCTCTGCGTCGGATCGATGTACACTCACCACGGGCGCAGCCTCGGTCAGGCTGGCGGCACGGAGCCACCGGGGTTGTGCTCCCTGCAGGTAGATTCAGAAATGAGAGGAGACAGGCAAGGGCCGAGTCGCACGCATCTCTCCCAGTCAAGGGAGACCCTTCTCTTCCTCCGGAGGAGTGAGTTCGGGTAGAGAGACCAGTGTGCTTCTCTACTGGAGGTCCCTCCGCCTGAGAACGTAAAGCCACTGTCTCCTTCCAGCCCTGGGATGTGGGCAGGAGTGCATCAGAGAGACCGGGATGTGGCGTGGGGTCTGTGGAGGGCAGGTAAGCTTATGGAGCAGGGGAGAGCACAGCAGCCCTCAAGGCTCTCCTGGGACAGTGCGATTACTGGGTCTGGGCCCACTGACGTCCCCTCTTTCCTTTGCTCTCCAGCACCCCCAATGGGAACAGTCTCAGCGCCGCGGAGCTCACCTGTGGGATGATCATGTGTCTGGCCAGGTAAGTCGCTGCCTTTCCAGCAGAGCCAGTCCCTCTGGTACGTCAATCATTATGATCCCCAAGCAAGGTGACCCTCAGGCACAGGAGCACTTCAGCTTGGAGGCGTGCAGACCAAGAACCTGCAGGGTGGTCAGTGCTCTGCTGAACATTCAGTGCACTGGCCCTGGAGCCACCAAGGTCAGGCTCTGAGTGCTCTCCAAGGGGGCGGGGTACCAGGGTGTGCTCGTTACCTGGGAGCAGGGTGGTGGAGAAAGGAATTGTGTGTGATCTTTCATCTCTCCTTCCTCACTTTCCACTCTCCACATCCATCCTCGGGCCAGTCCTGGCAGTCGGTCTTCTCACACTCGCTGCTAACCTCTAAGCCTTGCACATGCTGTTTCCTCTGCCGGGAGCACCTTCCCCATCATCTTCGCTGGGCAACTCTGCTTACTCTTCGAGATTAAGCCTCAGTGTTCATTCATCCAAGAAGCTGTCTCTGGGTCCCTCAGCTGAGCTGTGTCCCTCGCCGATTCTCCTGGCCCCAGTGACGGGGTTAACCTCTCTCACTCCTCATAGATCTGTGTTGTAATGAAATAAAATAAAAAGCTGTCCTGGGATCCCTGTGCCTACCTGTGGGTTCATAACACAAGGGAACGCAAATGGTCAGATCTCTTGCTCTTTTAGCCAGAACTTTGGGGCTGGGGACCTCTTGAATGTAGGGGACAGCCTAGGAACCGACGGGTGTGACGCGTGATGTGCACGGGTCTGTGGTCGGGGAAGGGCATGGAGCCAGGGACACGGCTCTAGGTCCCTTGCGGAACCTTGGATCCTTTTTTTTTTCATGTTCCTAGATCCCTCAGTCACTTTTCTCTTCCTCTCCCTGGTATGAGTTCACGGTGGAGGGCCAGGAGGCTCTACTGGAATTGCAACACCGAGACCGTGGGTCCTTAAACCAGCAGCCAGGATTCCTTATTTCTCTCCTCAGGCCTGAAATCTTCGGGGCCAAGACACGACTCTGTGCCTCTCTCAAGACCCGTTCTCCCTCCTGCTGGGGAGGACTGGGAGGGGCTCACCTTGGTTCTGACTCTCCGCTGATGGCTCCTTAGATCTTACTGGTCACGGATGTTCACAGGCCAGGGAAGAGGAGAGGAGGTTGAGGGAGGGAACAGGCACAGCTTCCAGAAGGGGTCCCTGGGCTGGCTGTCGACCCCCAGACCATCAGGGCTGCACGTTCCCCCGGAAACTATTAAATGCCTGGTATTTTTTTGCTTGGTTTTTGTTTTGAGTGAAGGAGGGTTCTCCGTGTAGCTTTCTATCTAATTAATTCTCTCACTTCCTTTTTTCTGGAGGTGGAAAGAAAGCTTGAGCCAGGAATAATGCTGCCCCTATTTCACGACCAGCTTTATTTAAGAGTCGGGAAAGGGAAACGATTTCAAAGAGGCGTCTCCAGTCCCTCATCCACAGCCTCGCCCATCCGAGAGGGGCAGCACTGAGAAATACGGACCCGTGGAGAAGGAAGGGCCGTCGCTCCTAACTTGTGTTTCATCGGACTGCTCTCCCCGCAGGGCCGCGTCTGGGGCTGGAGCGTGGACGGGAGGCCGAGCACAGGGCGCGGGGTGCAGAGGCCCTACTGGGCGTCGCACGGGCTTTGAACAAGTGGGAGTTCCTCGGGTACCGGAGGAAAACGGGCTCAGAAAAAGACAAATGCAGATTTCCCCACTTTGCCTGCTTTTCCTTCTCTTGTTAAGTCAGGCCACTTTTTTTTAATCCTCACCCAACGATATTTTCCCATTGATTTTCAGATTCAGTGGGAGGAAGGGAGGGAGGGAGAGAGGAACATCGATGTGAGAGAGACACATCAACTGGTTGCCTCCCACACGACCCTGACCAGGGCTGGGGACCGAACCACAACCGAGGTACGTGCCCTCGATGGAACTGAACCCGTGACTCTGGTCTGCGGGCCGATGCTCTAACCACCAGCCAAACCAGCCAGGGCAGGCAGGCCACCCTTGCCCACATCTTGGTCCCCCGAGCCTGGCGTGGTGAGGGCCTCACCTGCGAGTCTCTGACCAGCGGGGGACAGCCGCTGGAGGGAGGGTCTGGGGGTTTCTCCTGCTGTGTCGACAGCACCGGGGCGCAGAGATCAGATCGGGAGATGAGGGAACAGGGAGGAGGGGGGTGGGGTGGGGGTTGGGGGGCTCCCGTCTCACTGGGTGAGGCATTTGTCAGGCTGGCTTCACTGGGAAGCCGGCACTTGCTCCGCACGTTCCCTTACTGCTCTCCTGAACGGGGGCGTGATGGGCCGGAGCGGGGACATGGCGCTCCCCCCGAAGCTGCTTCCTGATGTGGCTGAGTTCACCCGCGGTCCGTGGGGCTGTCATCTAGGAAAAGAGCCTCACCCTCAGGTGGAGGTCCTGATAACGTGCAGACGTGAAGGAACTGTTTTGAAAATGAGAACGCATGGAAGTAGAAACACAGGAGCAATAGATTGGAATCTATTTCTGCACACCCAGCAGGAAAGCCTGCACTTGAATACTTCGGAGGCTGCCTGGTGGGAGGTCTTCCCTGGCCTTGAATCGGCTCAGATGCCTCCAGCTGGGCGGTGCTGGCGAGGTGTCAGCCTGCAGTGCCCCCGCTGTGCAGCTGTGAGCTTTAAGGGAGCTAAGGTGTGTCTGAACATTTCCTATAAGAATGTCCGAAATAGAGAAGATACTCCTTAAACATTCTAAACGTTGTTTCTCGTCTTTGTTGCTTCCAGGGAAGCCTGGATGACCTTGTCCCATGTGGCATGTCTTACTCGGTGACCTCTCACTTTGCCCTGACTTTCTTTGTCTCCTCCAGAAAACACGTGGAGACTCAGACTCCCATGTTAACCAATAGGAGAGAGGCTGTGTGGGGTGTGGCGTGTCTGCCTGCGTGCGGGGTGGGACGGGGAGAAGGTAGGAGTGTGTGGACTGCGCACCCGCACACCCAAATCTAGCCTGAGACCGCTGGGACTTGAGAAACTCCCAAGGAAGAAGAAATAATCAGCTGTCCCCTGACACAGTAGATGTAGTTTGTGGCCCTGGATGGAATAGGAAAATGAAAATCCTTGAATTTCTGGAGCACATGATGCCATCAGCGTCTCTCAACACCCCCTTGCTTATTCCTGCAAACCCTGGAGGACTGGCTATTGTGTTTTCTGTGCCTAGAGTCACTCTGATCCCCCACAGGCTGAAGTGGAACCTCTTCCCAGACTCCCAGCTGGAGACAGACGCTCCAGGACCCCAAGTCAAGTCTGCCAGGGCTTCCCCTCTGCTGCACCCCTTGACCCTCCTCTATGATTCTGAACCTGAGTCCCAGGCCCAGGCTGAGCTTGGCTGGTGACCCGCAGAGGCGGTGGCCGTGCACACGTCATGTCGTGCCTCCTTGAGCTGGCGGGGGTGTGCGCGGGCTCTGAACCTGTGTCTGTCCTTGCAGGCAGATTCCCCAGGCGACGGCTTCGATGAAGGATGGCAAATGGGAGCGGAAGAAGGTGAGCAGCCGGCCTTCCCTCCCCCCAGCCTGCCTCTGCCTGAGGTTCACTCCTGGCGCTGACTTTGGCTTCTTTGCCTGTTTGGTTGTAGTTCATGGGCACCGAGTTGAATGGAAAGACCCTGGGAATTCTTGGCCTGGGCAGAATCGGGAGAGAGGTGGCCATCCGGATGCAGTCCTTTGGGATGAAGGTAAGGGTCCGCTGGCTTGCTGTAGAATGTTTGGAAGAGGGTTGTGTTTGAGAGAAGCTGAAGGATTGGTCCTAGGAGGCGCTGACACCCCTACTCCCTTTCAGAGCCTCCGACTTAAATAGGCGGTAAAGCCAGGGAGGGCGGGAGCGTTGCGTGTTGATATGGACACTTGAACTCAGAATCTGGGAATACCTGGTGGAGGTCCTTCAGCTCCGGGGTGGGTGACAGCCCTGGGTCCCAGCGGAGCCGAGAGAGTCCCGTATCCTGCCAGCCTTTCCTCCCCTGCTGTGAGGGCCTCCTTGTTTGCCCTGTCTGTTGCCTGTAATTCAGAAAACGAGCAGATTTATAGCAATTGTCTGTCCATCTTCCAGCTCCTCTTGCAGTTCGGTCTCTGATTGAAAGGTGTGTGTGCTGACAGGATTGTAGAGCTGGTGGTGGCTGGAAGACCCCACACATTGCTCAGAAGTGATCCTGCCCCCTGCCCCCCCCTAGGGCCCTGCCTTATCCTGTCCTGGGAGGCTGCCAGTTGAGGGAGGGTGGTTATCAATAGCAGTGCCAACCCCAGGGACGCGGCACAGAGGGGGATCCACAGGGGTCCCCGGTTGGCCAGTGACAGGCACCTGGGAGGGCTGGTGGATGCCTCCCTGTTCCCGTGGCTGTGAGGGCATCGTGGGTTCAAATTGCAGGCAGGGAGGCTTTAGTTAAACATTAAGGAAAACAGCTTTGAAAATCAGATCATTTCGGGTCTAGAAAAATTGACAGAGCAGGGTTACAGAATTTTCCATTTCTCCCTTGCTCCCTCTCTTTTTGTCTGTCCCTCCTACCTTCATAGAGTTAGAGGGACCTTATGGACGAACCCTTAATTTTATGTTGACCTCCGGAGTTTGTACATTTTTGTTAAGGGCTCACAGCAAATGGATGATAGACAAGAACCCAGGTGGGCATCCCATGACACCACGGTGCCTTTTCCTCCGCCTCCTGCCTCCACTGCCCCTCGCATTTAAGTCATCCAGACGCCTTTCCTGCGCCTTGGCACTGGGACGGGCAGGTACATTTTTCTACATCTCCAAGAGCAGTGAGTGTGGCCCAGCAGGATTCGCTGATCACGAAAACAAACCAACCCCACGTCCTTCTGTGCAGGGGAGGCAAGGTGCCGCCCGCCACAGAAAGCGCTTTCTCCTGCCTCTCGGGAGGGATCCAGGTAAAGGTGTAGCTCATGGGGAATTTTGATCATCTAAAAGCAGGGGTCACGCCTGGCCGGTGCGGCTCAGTGGTTGAGCGTCGACCCATGCACCAAGAGGTCACCGGTTTGATTCCCGGTCAGGGCACATGCCCAGGTTGTGGGCCAAATCCCCAGTTGGGGTTGTGCAAGAAGCGGCTGATCGATATTCCCTTGGGTCCAGCGATTGTGCCCTGCGGTCTGCTGTGTCAGATACTGCGCTCCAGTGACCCTGTGGAGTCAATATTAGCCCAGTTGCAGGTAAGGAAACTGAGGCCCAGGAAGGTTATCTGATATGCTCAAGAAAACAGGCCTAGCCCTGGCCGGTTTGGCTCAGCGGCTAGAGCGTCAGCTTGCGGTCTGGAGAGACCCGGGTTCGGTTCCCGCTAAGGGCATGTACCTTGGCTGCAGTTTGTCCCCGGCCCTGGTTGGGTCGTGTGGGTGGCGGCCACTCGATGTGTCCCTTTCACATCGATGTTTCTCTCTCTTCCTCTCCTCTCCTTCCTGCTCTATCTGAGTGAAAAATGGAAAAATGTCCTCGGGTGAGGATTAAAAAAAAAAAAAAGAAAAAGAAAACAGGCCTAGTGAGCAGTGGAGTTCAGCTCAGACTCCCGGTCCCCCGACTTCTAACCTGGTGCTCTTTGCCCGAACCCCCGTCTTCATTCCTGGCCATGTTCGTTAAACAGCCCCCTCCGGAGCTCTCTTGTCTCAGTCTGGTAGCTGGAATCCTCACCACCCCAGAGCAGTGATTTCCAACTTCTTCCCAGGGCCTCAAGTTCTAGAAAGGTGCCTTAGGGGCCTGGGGAAGGGTCACCTCTGCAGCTTTGAATTGACCTGGTTTCATACTGGGCTTCTGCTGCAGAGTTCTTTGGGCGGGCAGAGCTGCAAGGCTAGGCCAACCCGTGGCTGCAGGGCAGAGTGGGCGTGGCTGTTAGGCCTCTTCACTGGACCCCCGGCTCTGGAAGGTGACCTCGCTCTCCTCCGTCCAGGGGGCTGGGGGCCGGCAGGACCAGCCTCCCAAAGCTGCCTTCTGTGACAGCCGCTGGGAGGTCGCCTGTTCCCTTGAAAAGCTAGGTTCCTTTGTTGCCCCGAGCTCAGGGATCTGTCTGGGGGCTGGGATTGAGGCAGGGAGTTCCTTTATGCATCCCCAAGACTCCTCTCTAGGAATAGTCTTCAGATTGGGTCCCTGGGCCCAGTGTCACCCTTCAGACCTCCCCCGACAGCATGGTCTCCTGGTGTAAGGACTCCAGGTCGTACTGAGCTCAGTTCCTGTCTGCCCTGTGTGTCTCCAGTGAGAAACAAGAATGGGTTTTCTTTCAGCGGGTTTCCCTGCAGCTGTCTGCAGATGAATGAGATACTGTCTCTGTGAAAGAAAACTGTCAGGCTTGTGACCCGGGTGGGAGATGCTTCTCTCCTGCTGTCCCCATCCGCTGCCTTTAGCCCAGGCACTTGGGCACAGACTTGGCCTGCGACCCTTCCTCCAGGCAGCTACCCCCGTGCCTGAGTTCGGAGAGCCAAGGGTCCATAGAGGTGTGCAAACCCGCTCTCTCAGCCTCGGCTTCGTGACCTCTGTTGGTGTCCCGTCCTCTCCCCGCGCCACGTCTGAGCTAGAGACGAAGGGGCCATTGTTCCCGCCTCAGCAGCGGACAAAGAAGGCTTGTGAGAACGGGCAGAGTCCTCTCCTCCCCTGGACGTTTCATTCTCCCTGAGAAACGAGTAGGTTCTCTGAGGGGAGGGCCATGTGGCCTGCCACCAGCTGGTGATCCTATAGGGCACCGGGAGGCAGCTTCCTTCCCCAGAGCCTCCACCCACGGCCGGGGTGGGGCCCACGTGGCCCACGTGGCCTTCCTCTTGCACATGGTGATGAAAAGTGTGATCCAGAAGCTCCACCTCACCCATGACCATCCCAGTGTCTTCTCCAGAGGCGCTGGCTTTGGTACAGCCATCTTCTTTGCCATTATTTTTTCTAAAATCACTATATTTGTGTAATTTCAAAAGAAATCCATCATCAGTGGGGAAGCATTAAAAAGCATAGGAGCCCTGACCAGTTTGGCTCAGCGGCTGGAGCATTGGCCCTCTGAGCAGAGGGTCACGGGTTCGGTTTCCGCTAAGGGCATGTACCTCGGTTGCGGTTCGTCCCCGGCCCCTGTTGGGGTCGTGTGGGAGGTGGCCAGTGGATGTGTTTCTCACTCGATGTTTCTCTCCTTCTCTTCCTCCCTCTCTGCCTCCCACTCTATCTAAAGATAAATGCAAATATGTCCTCAGGTGGGGGGGGGGGGCACAAAGAAGAGGGAAGGGATTTCGCTGCCCAGTGGTAGCACTGTTTAAATATGATGATGCTTTCTGTACGTCCTGCTTGTTGTTTAATCCCGGGCCAGCTCTGAGTATTCTTCTCAGGGCTAAGGGATCTTTCTTTTTAAAAGTTAGACCAGAAGGTGACTTTGAAATCATCCCCCCAGCCTCCTTACTTTGGATTGTGGACCCAGGTCCAGAGGGCACTGGCATGAGCCTGGGCACAGTTGACAGCGACTGAGACAGCACCAGGTCCAGGTCTCCTGGTTCAGAGTCTTGGGCCTTGCAGACCTGTCCAGCTCAGTAGCTATCCTGCCTTCTCGAGGACATTGCTGCCTTTGAGATGCTTAGGGCTCCAACACCCCTTTCCCCGAGTCGATGTTGCTGACATGAGCCGAGCCCATGGAGAGCTCTGGGAGGCCACCTGAGGTCTTTGCTGTTGCAGGAGGTAGATGCTTTGCACGTGGTTGCAGATGCTTCCAGATGCTTTCCACGTGGTTGCAAATGCTTCCAGATGTTTTGCACCTGGTTGCAGATGCTTCCAGCTGCCCTTGCTGGCTTGGTAACCTTTAGAGCATGGCCCTTGCTCGGGGATGGGTGTGTCTGGCAGACAAGCTGTTTTTGATGTAAGAGAGATGTTTCCATCTCACTAGCCCATTTTCTCGGGTGGGGCTGTGGGCCTCTCCACCTCACTCCAGATTAGCGGCTGGGCACAGGGAGTGCAGGCTGTGGAGTCAGTGCTAGTTTGTGTCTCAGCTGGACCACCCGCCATGTGTGTGCCTTGGCTGAAGCACTTAACCTCTCTCCCTTAGTTTCCTCATCCGTCCAGCAGGGAATAACTATACCTGGCCCGTCAGGTATGAATTAGATGAAAGCACCTGCCACATAGTAAATGCTACCTAAGTGTTCGCCTTTATTAGCTATGATTACATGTCCTTCCTTCCTTCCTCTGAGCTTTGTCTTCTCCAACTTTCTTTCTTCCTGTTCCCGGAAAGGGGACCTGACCTGAGCGGGTCTGCCTGGGGCCGGCCTATAGTGTGCGGGTTCTTGACTTCATGCAGGAAAGATTGCACAGCACAGGTGCAGGTGACTTTTAGAGGACATTTATTAAAGCTAGGGACAGTGAAAGAAACAAGGAGGGGCATAGGATAGAAGAAGCAACAGGAGAGGGACTGGGTGGGGAAATGAGCCTGGGCTGGCTGCTTTGGCTCACTGAAAAGTCAGAGAAAGGGAGGCCTTGGGGACAGGGTCAGGGGGTCAGCCTGGGAAGAGCTTGCTGCTGCCACCGACCATTGCTCCCTGGTTGGCAGCCTCCTGCGGTCTGTGGGGGAGGAGGAGGGGGAGGGTCCTTTGTCTTGAGGCTTTTATCTCTCCCTGCAGGTGGGAATCTTGGAGATCTCAGGGGAGGGTTTCAGCAGAACATCCATCAGTTTTCTAGTGTGCTCCTTCAGGGTCGTGGTCCTCACTGATTGGTCAGTGTCAGGGCAGGGGGTCATTAGTCATTGTAGCTGGTCTTGGTGTCACCCACCTGTTTTGCTGCTTTTCTGGGCCTGGAGCTGAAATACAACTAAGGCCTAGATGTTGTCTCTAGGGAGGCGACCTCCTGTATCTGCTGTAAGTCGCTGGGCTATCTGTCTCAGTTTCCCCATTCCACTTGCCCTGGCTTACTGGCCTGTCTCATTCCCTTCCCTAATGCGATGGCCTCTGGCCTGTTTCATGAGGTTAGTGAGGCCTACACTCAAGTTTCCAGGCTGCCCCACCTCTCAGCAGTCAGCCTGCCTTCCTTCCTCCTCAGCAGCCTCAGGGGGCCCCTCTGCTGTGGGGGGCCCTCCTCCTCCCCCTCCTCAGACCAAGGTTGTTTCTGGGCCCTCCCCCACCCATGGTACCTTGATGTCTCACTTTCCTCCTCTGATGTCCTCCCTCCCCACCCCATCGGCCCTGCCTTGTTGAAAGCATCTGTCGTTAGTCATTTAGACCCCCTGTGGTTAGTCACCATGGTTTGCCTTCCAACACTAGATGCATCTTAGGCCTAAAAGTCATTTCAGGAGAGGGGACGGTGCACTCCCTGTGTGAGCCCGGGTCCTACACCCCTTCCCTGATGACCTCTGCACCACCATCTTCCCCCTCCCCCCGTCCCGCCCTCCGCCCTCTGCTCAAGGATCCAGTGCCCCTGCCTGTTTTCTGGCCCTGTGAGTCAGGTCCTCGGACTGCAGCCAGCCTCTCCTCCCTTTCCTGGTGGTGCCCCACACTGATCCCCATGTGCCGGTCCTCCCTCATGTGGGCCCTGCTTTCTTAGGGCTTCCAAGCTCCACCTTGGCCACATACGAGCTGCTCTTACAATTGTGATTAAGAGCGTGCAGTCAGACACACCTCCGTTTCCACTCTGGCCCTGCCCCTTCCTAGTGTGTAAGCCTCACTGCCTCCAGCTCCAGAGTAGAAAGAGTAGTACCAACCCCTTTGTATTGTCCCAAGAAGTACACTGTTGTCCACAAAAGGCCCAGCATAGTGCTTGGTATATGGCAAATGCTCAATGGTAGCCATTATTAATGAGCCAAATGCTGGTAATTAATAATGACACGCACTCTCTCTCTTGACAAGACTGTAGGGTACGACCCCATCATTTCACCAGAGGTCTCGGCTTCCTTTGGTGTTCAGCAGCTGCTCCTGGAGGAGATCTGGCCTCTCTGTGACTTCATCACCGTACACACCCCTCTTCTGCCCTCCACGACGGGTAGGTGTGTCCCTACCTTGTGGTTTGGACACAGAAGCCACAGACCAGATAAGAGTGGGTCCCCAGTCAGGGGCGTCCACAGATACTCTGTGTGTGTGACCAGTTCTGGGGAGGGTCGCCTAGGTCTGCCAGCATCAGGGCGGGGATGCTTTGTGAGGTGCCCTGTCATCAGATCAGAGGGGCGAGCACGCGGGAATTCTGGAGTGTGGGCTGAGCTGGGGCAACATGTTGGACCCGTGCCCTGGATACCTGCCTGGGCCACTGCAGGCCTCTCTGGTCTGGACCCACTCCAAGCAGTGATATCTCAGGGACTTCTAGGATGTTTCTTAACTGCGTCTGGCCCAGTATCCTTATGGGAAAGGTGGGACCAGAGAGTCTGTTGTCCTGAAGGAAGGAGGCCTGTGGGTGGGAAGGCGGATGAGCAGGAGCCAAGCACGTGGGATCCTGACACCGTCACTGCAAGAAAGCTCTTCCCTCGCTCCAGGCCTGTTGAACGACACCACCTTCGCCAAGTGCAAGAAGGGGGTGCGCGTGGTGAACTGTGCCCGCGGAGGCATCGTGGACGAAGGCGCCCTGCTGCGGGCCCTGCAGTCGGGCCAGTGCGCCGGGGCCGCGCTGGACGTGTTCACCGAGGTGAGTGCGGGCGGCCGGGTGCGGGCGCCCAGGGCCGAGGGGCGGGGGCGGGGGTGACGCAGAGACGCTCGGATCATGGGCTCTAGGTCCATGGTAAATGGGAGAAATGGTCAAATGTATGTGAAAAATAACACCTTTGCAGTTTGAGGAGCCCTGGCACGGTGTGGTGCGGAGGCAGCCACCTTGTCTTCTTCCAAACCTGGGTTTTAAATCAGACCCGGGCTGTGCTCCTCGGCCGCTGCCTTGCTGACAGCGTCAGAGGAGACAGCAGCGCATCGTTCCGAGGTCGAGGACGGCAGGGAGAGGGTTTCGCGGTTGCCGCGGTTCTGCGGAGTGAACCCAGCCAGGTCCGCCCGGTGTCCTTCGCTTTCCTTTCCCCTCCTCTCCCGCGGAGGGAAGCTGGGGACAGCGGTCCGAAGCTACCCTGGTCCCCAGGGTGGGGGCTCGCCCTAGGTCTCCCTCCCCCACTCCCACACCAGACCGAGTGGTGAAGGGTGCGTTCCACTCGAGTCCCATGCCTCCTGAACATCGGAAGCCCGGGGGAAAGGTCGTGGACTTTGTGACCAGCGCACCAGAGGGTGTGCTGGATGTGAGCGCTGTGTGGCCTTGGCCAGCCCCCCTCGGAGCCCCGTGGCACGTCCAGTGTGCACAGTGCATTGGGCTTGTGTTTCTGCTAACCTTTCCCAGCTAGTTTGCAGGATCCCTGCGGGTGGGTGTGCCTGGCCCTCCCGGGTTGCCATCCCCAGCACGGCGCCCTCCCCCACCCTCAGCCTCCTCAGAGCACCTATTGCCAGGACCCTGGGACCCCCCGGGTGATGTGGGAGCTAACAGAGCCCTGGGGGAATGGCCAGAAGAGCAGAGGCCTAAGTAATGTCCCCAAGGGCAATGCTTTGTGCTCAGTGAGCAGAAGGGGTGGAGGGACACGAGTGCGGGGTGCAGGTACCCAGGTGGGCCACCTATCCCAGTGCGAAGCACTGTGTGACAGTAAGTGCTGTGAGGATGCCGTGGGGGAGGGGCTTCAGGGACACCGGTAACAGCGCTCCTTACTGGTTTGAGAACCTACATGACTGGTCTGGAATCTCCATGACTATGTAATGAGGTAGGTAGTATTAACCCATTTTATTTAGAGTAGGAAACTGAGGCCCAGAGAGATGGAGATTTGCCCCAGGGCACATTGGAATGTGGGCCACAACTCTGTTCACGACTCTACCGAGGTGGGGTATCATTGAGGAAGCTGGGTGTGGAGTCCAGTGACCACCTGACAAAGTAAAAGCAGAAGGCAGCCCCGCTCCCGCCTTCGTCCCCTCTGTGCCCTCGGCAGTCCTTAGCAGGCAATCAGAGGTGTCTCTTCCTGGGCAGGAGCCGCCACGGGACCGAGCCTTGGTGGACCATGAGAACGTCATCAGCTGCCCCCACCTGGGTGCCAGCACCAAGGAGGCCCAGAGCCGCTGCGGGGAGGAGATCGCTATCCAGTTCGTGGACATGGTGAAGGGCAGAGCCCTAGCAGGGGTTGTAAGTAACCACGTGGGGTGGGATCTGGAGGTCAGAGGGAGGAGCAGGAGTCTTGGGGGGAATGGTAACAGCCGGGACGAGTTGTGGTGTGACCAGATTCAACTCTGGGAGCTGAAGATAAGGGAATCCACTTGAGTCAGCCACTGGGTGGGGTGGCTGGAGCTGGCCTGCCCCTCTCCTTGATAGCTGGGGCCTGGCACCAGGGAGCCCAGCTCCACCCTGATACATTGTAGCCTTGTGCAGAGATTGTAGCTCTTCCCAGGCCCAGTATCCAGGGAAAGGCTCCTTTGTTCTCTCCTTTGTTCTCTCCTTTGTTCTCCGCCTACCTTGGAAGGAAGGAGTGTGGCTGGGGTGAGGGCTGGGCTCCGATGGGGGCGGGCGGGGAATGGCTTGTGGAGAGACCCCCTGAGGGCTGGGGTGCTGTCACCTCGGAGCCCTGAGCGCTCCTTTCATTGTGAACATCTGAGGACCCTGGGTGGGGACTCACCTGCCCCCTTCCTACCATGAGGAACCCTCCATGCCAGTTGGCCCCCAAATCATGCCTAATGTCCTCACTTCTTTTTTGTGTGTGTATGAGATGCACATTTAAATACTTTTTTAGTTTATTGTTTTCAGTATTACAGATGTCCCCTAATCCCTACCTTTTTCACTTCTTGTCTTTGTTCACATTGGGCCCTTCTTGGGATGTTTCTCCTCTAAGCCTAACCTGGCTCACACCGCTAGTGTTGTCTCATTCAGTCTTCGCACGTTCCTTCAGCTCCAGGGGTACCAGACACGCACCCAGGCCCTGGGGACAGACCAGTGAGGCAGGCACAGCTCTCTTTTGAGGGGCTCACCGCCCCTTCGCAGACCTTGGCTTGGCTTTTCCAGCTCAGTCCTCTAGCAACGAACCACCTCCCCTCGTAATCATTAAGGTTTTGTGTATTTATATCCTTCTCTTTAAATTCTAAGTTCTCTCAGGACCAAAAAAAAACCAACAACAAAGAAACAAACAAAAAACAGGATGTGAGCTTCTCTGCAGCTGACATGGCTCTGCCCAGACGCAGGGGTAGGGAACCTTTTTCCGCCAAGGGCCATTAGGATATTTATAACATCATTCGTAGGCCCTACAAAATGTGGTCAAGCTAATTTGGTGAGGCTGTGATGTCAGCTGGTATTGATTTCTCAGGCCTTAGGGCCTTATACCGCCCATACTGCCGTTCCCCACCCCACCCCAGAGCATTGAATAAGGGTGGGGGCGGGGCGAGCCTTCCTGGCTGACCCTCAGCACGGGGATTTTCACTGCTCCGACCGGCCGTGGCAGGAGAGGCACAGCTGCTTGGTTAAGCCCCACCAGTTCTGGGTTGATAGCACAGTCCTCGGGGCCACCCTGCCCTCTGCGTCCTGAGAAAGTAAGGGACCCAGCTGCTGCCCTGCAGGAGGACCCCTCAGGGCCATCTGGTGGTGGCCACAGGGTGGTGGCCAACAAGGACACTTGTCCTGTCTGTGTCTGTCGGCTGCTCAGGACGGGGCACATGTTCTCACTATTTTAGCACACCCGAAGCCTGAGCAGGTTCATGCCTCCCCCCTGAGGCTGATCGGACCCAGGCTGAGGTGTGGGCTGTGACCACTGCCAGGCAGTCTGGACTTGGCTTTTCCCTGTAGTCCTCACAGGTGGGTTTCTGCCCTCGGCGTGCGGCCGTGGGAGTTAGTGACATGGGCACCAGGTAGCGGTGGCATCTCAGGCCTTTCTGTGAAGGGGACTCCTTAACACCAGCTCCATCAAAGGGAACCACCGAATGTCCCCATCTTACTTAAGGGGTAAAATCCCTTGGTCCAAATGGTTAAAATCGGGCAAATTGAACTCTCCACCCAAAGTGGCGGGTGGTCTTAGAGAAGGCATTTAGAAATAAGATATTTTTGTCACTAGGAAGTATGACTGTCCCTGATTCTTCACTGTGTCCTCTTCGGTTCCATTCTGTGCCAACCCTGGACACTGGCTTAGGGTCAGGTTGGGGCCCACAGGCACCCCTCCTCCTGGAGCCCTCCTGCCCACCTTTGAGAGAAGACAAGGACCTGCTTCTATGGGGGGCCTGTGACGAGCTCCGGGGTGGGCTCTGCAGGTGCTGTGCTGTGGGCAGAAACCAGGCAGGGTGCCTGCTTCTGGAAGCTTCGTTGCATACTTCTCCTCCTGCCATAAGCTCCCAGCCCACCCAGCTGTTTCCTGACACCGGCTCTGCTCCCAGCAGCTGGCCCTCTCGTGTCCCCTCCTGGCTGCTGCTGTTCTTGGCTGTGTTCTGTTGGGGAGCCCCGCGCAGGGGGCCTTCACGCCAGCCTGCCGCGCACCAGGGTCCGGTGGGCAGCCCCACCTCTTTGGTCACGTCCAACATCATGATGCTCTCCTTTTTTTTGCTGCTTTTTTAAACTTTTATTTATTTTTATATATTTTTCCTTTATTGATTCTTAGAGAGAGAGAGAGAGAGAGAAACATTGATGAGAGAGAACATCGATTGACCTTTTCCTGCATGCCCCCCACTGGGGATCGGGCCCACAACCTGGGCATGTGCCCTGACCTGGAATCAAACTGGCGACCTCTTGGTGCGTGGGTCAATGCTCAACCACTGCGCCACACCAGCCAGGCTTACTGACTTTAGAGAGAGAGAGAGACATTGATGTATAAGAGAAACATCGATCGGTTGCCTCTGCACATGTTCCCACCGGGGATCGAACCCACAACCTTTCGGGCACCAGATGACACTACAACCAACTGAACCACCAGCCAGGGCATGATGCTGTCTTCTAGCTCTGCCAGCTACATCCCCATGAAAACGGGAATACAGCACCGTGTTTTCCGTTTCTCACATCGTGTAGCGGTCTGTTGGATTTCTGTGAGACCCAGGCTTCCAATTAAATCCTTTTTAGATGGTTCTTTTTACAAACTGCCTCACAGAGGGGGCCAGTGAGGAGCTCGGAGCCAGAGCCTCTCAAACCACAGCATGGAATAGAAATGTGGGTCCTGGATACGCTGCTTTGTTGTCAAAGCCCCGGTGGGGTCCAGCTGGCCAGCCCCCAGACTTACCACCTTCTGCCGGACACGGCACATCTGGTGGGCTGCACGGGTCAACGTTTGAAGAGTGACAGGACTGTCAAAAGGATATGAATCCATCCAGCTTTATAAATTGTGTTATTTGGTCAGAGTGTTTAATGACAATGTAAACACAATGAAAAACATCAAGATACAAAGTGAAAAAGAGGAAAGGTCTGGCTGGTGTGGCTCAGTGGTTGAGCATCGACCCATGTACCAAGAGGTCGCCGGTTCGATTCCCGGTCAGGGCACATGCCCAGGTTGTGGGGGGGCATGCAGAAGGCGGCCAGTCGATGTTCTCTCTCATCGATGTTTCTAGCTCTTTCTCTCTCTAAAATGAATTAAGGGGGGGGGGGAGGAAGACGTACTAGGAATACTACCCAGAGAGACCTGCCACTCTATGTCCAAGTGAGCTGTGACTCCCCAGTTACCCCATGTCTAGACCCATCCCCAGCACAGGAAACGGTGTCCTGGATGGGGTAGGACAGGCTCAGTTCAGGGAGGAGGTGCCTCTCTAACCCCCACCCCTCTGTCAGTTTGGAGGGTCCTAGCCTTTGTGCTCTGTGCTGACTCAGCAGCTCTCCTCCGCTGTGGGAACAAGTGCTGGTCTTGCTGGGGGCTAATGGAAGCTGTCGAACCCCAGGCTCCAAAGGCCAGGGTGGCCCATGCCTTCTGCTCTCTGGGGAGCTGAGTCTCAGCAACAAGACCTTGTTTGATCAGATGTGCCCCGTCCCACCTCTTCCTAACCTCGACCCTGCTCCCTCTCTGCAGGTAAATGCCCAGGCCCTTACCAGTGCCTTCTCTCCGCACACGAAACCTTGGATTGGTCTGGCAGAAGCTCTGGGGACACTGATGCGAGCCTGGGCTGGGTCCCCCAAAGGGACCATCCAGGTGGTAACACAGGGTGAGCCAGGGACACTGGAGAGGGAAGGGGAAGGAGGGTGTGGACTGTGCACCCCACCGGGTGTGTGTGCTGCAGGGCAGACAGTGAGGGACTCAAAGTGACCTTGGTCTTGGGACTCCATGTCCCATGCTCTGAGGATGGTTCACTTGCTACTAAGTGGAGACAGAAGAGGAGGGGACAGAAAGACATTGGGAAATATTTAATTTTCACATTGTATTTGTGCAGTATTTTATTTTATGTATTTATTTCTTTTTTAAATCCTCACCTGAGGACATTTTTTTCCATCTATCTTTAGACAGAGTGGGAGGGAGGGGAAGAGGGAGAGAAAGAGAGAAACATCGATGTGAGAGAGACACATCGACTGTTTGCCTCTTGAACAACCTCTACCAGGGCCGGGGACGAACGCAACTGAGATACATGCCCTTGACTGGAATCGAACCCGGGACTCCCTGGTCCACGGGCCCATGCTCCAGCCTCTGAGCCAAGCCGGCTAGGGCAGTGTTTGTGCAGTATTTTAAAGATGTACATGTTTGGGGCGCAAGAGGAACCTCCACAAGAGAGTTTCACGTAAGAGGTGATCTTGGTGGCGGGAGCCCTGGATTAAGTGACAGGACATTTGACTGACTTTCACCGTCACTCACTCTGTGCGACATTCCCATCTCTGGGCCCTGAGTGTCAGGGGCATGCCAGACGTGGTGGGGACAGTCTGTGCTCTGACAGACCAAGATGAGCCTGGCACCAGCTGACGGGCTCGGGGAAGTTTGCTCAGCCTTGGCGTGGGGACAGCGCCCTCTGTCTGCCCCACGGTGCCTGAGCAGCTCCTGCCAGCATTGCGAGGTCCGGCCCTCTGCAGGTGTGCTTGAGACCAGGGAGGGCTCCAATCCCCTAACTTTTTTTTTTAATCCTCACCCGAGGATATTTTTTTTCCCATTTATCTTCAGATAGAGTGGGAGGGAGAGAGAAACATTGATGTGAGAGAGACACATTGATCGGTTGCCTCCCGCACGACCCCGACAAGGCCAGGGACTGAACCACAACCTTGACCGGAATCGAACCTGAGGCTTATCTTCCGCATTGCCTGTTGGGCATTTACTGTCCTGGGGAGAGACTAGGGGAGGGCGGGCAGCCCCTGGGCAAGGCTGGCGCCAGGGCATCTCCACAGGCGTGGGTCCCCAGGCTCCAGAGGCCACAGGGCAGGGAACGGGGCCACCATTGCTCCAGTTGCCCGTCCACTTCCTGAGGCCAGCAGGGGTGTGAGCGCCAGGTGGGGATGGGAGCAAGACGTTTTTCAAGTGTCCCCTTGGAGAATGACAGGAGGTGCGGGGCGCCGGCCGTGGCGGGTGTGTGGGGGCACTGGATTTGGGCTGCGTTATGGAGAGGGGTTTCTTAGATGGAGGGAGTGTCCTCGGGGTCCTGACCTGTTGCGTCTCTGCTGCCCAGGCTGGAATCAGGCCCCCAGTGCAGTGAGGAGCCCCTGACCCAAAAGTGGGTGCTGGGGTCTCCTGCCCCTCCCGTGTTGCTCAGTAAACAGTGACCTCATGGAGGCTTCTTTTCGGTCCCCAGGCACATCCCTGAAGAATGCCGGCAACTGCCTCAGCCCCGCAGTCATCGTCGGCCTCCTGAAAGACGCTTCCAGTCACGCGGACGTGAACTTGGTGAACGCCAAGCTCCTGGTGAAGGAGGCTGGCCTCAACGTGGGTGCCCTGCCCTGCCCCCCCACCCCGCCCGCACTGCCCTGTCCTCCCCTACGCTTTCCGAGCACCCTCACCGCCCTGCTCAGCGAGGGGCAGCCCTGGTGCGGCCCTGCCCTTGACACTACCTGTGAGAGGCAGCGTAAAACACGTCTTCGTCTGCAAAGGGGGACAGCGCCCGCCTTTGAGTGTGGCTCTGCGTGAGGTGCTGTGTGTGTATGCTCTGTGGCAGCACCCCATTTCACAGCCCAGAAAACTGGGGAGCCAGGCTGCACCAGCTGGAGGCCGGGAGTCATCACACCCGGTTTCCTGCCTGGCTTGCACAGTCTGGGGGCCGGCAGCACATCCGCTCAGCTCTGCTGCCCACGGCTTTCCCTTGGCATCTCTCCCTCTGGTCCCCTTTGTGATCAAAGTCTTTCTCAGCCAGTGGGAGCTGGCAGATGATTGGGAAGTAGGGTTCCCACGACCCCCCCTTTCTCCACCCCTACATCCCAGTCAAGCCACTGGTTCTGTGCAGGAAGCAGTGAGCAGGAGGGTCCAGACTGGGTCAGCCTCCCGGCAGACCTGCCAACCCAGGTCCTCACAGCCCTGCCTCTGCCTGCTCCCTCCTTCCCACCCCTCCCCTCCAAGCTGTTACCAGTTCTTCCCCTGTGGGGGCCATGGACTGGACTGTCCCAGGAAGCTGCTTCGCCCATTGGCCCATTCCAACGGCCCTGAACTGCCAACCTGGTTGGCCAAACTGCAGGCCCTACAGATTGGCCATGGGGCTGAGGCGAGGATGGCCTGATGCAGCCAGGAGGTGTGACTGCCCCCCTGCCTTCTCTTCACAGGTAACCACCTCCCATAACCCTGCTGTGCCGGGAGAGCAAGGATTCGGGGAAGGCTTCCTGAGTGTGGCCCTGGCAGGTGCCCCTTACCAGGCTGTGGGCTTGGTCCAGGGCACCACACCTGTGCTGCAGGCACTCAACGGAGCTGTCTTCAGACCAGAAGTGCCTCTCCGCAGGGGTCTGCCCCTGCTCCTGTTCCGGGCTCAGCCCTCCAACCCTGCCATGCTGCCTACCATGATTGGTGAGGAGGGGCCCCTGGGGCTGGCTGGTGTCTGAGGCAGGGGGGTGCGGCAGGGGAAGGGGGTGTCCTGTCCTGGGATCGGGTTCCACAGACCTTTGCCTCCCTCAGCTCTTTTCCAGCCTCAGGGCGCCTCTGGGTCTGCAGCAGACAGGGTCTGTCCTGCCGGTTTCCAGAGCACTGGGAAGTGGATCAGGACTTCAGAGGGAAGTGCCTTATCGGAGGTCGCAGGGCAGCGTGGCAGGGCTTGGACCCAGAGCCACGGTGAACAGGGCTGCTCACCGTGGGAAGCAGAGTGTGGCCTGCCCGTGGAGCCGAGTCCCAGGAGCTCAGCCGCGGGGCGGGGTTCCTCTGACCGCAGCCAGGCTGGCGGGCATCCCCAGGACCTGCCCAGTCCCCTGGCGCCCTGGCACTTTCCTGGCAGAGTTCTCAACGGGCTGCATCTCCCCATCCTTGCTAGCGGCCCAGGGACTTTCCTTTTCACTCTCTCCCTGTTGGTCTGGATAAGCCTGGCAGCCAGCCACCAGTCAGGAGAGCTTTGTGGCTCCTCTGCCCTGGCCAGTGTCACCCGAGGGTGAGGGTCGGGGTGTTCCTAACGTCTTCGGATAGTGAGGGCGAGGGCAAGTGTTCCTCAGCTCGGAGTCTGAGACCATCGCCCCTCATTGCAGCGCTGATCACAGCAGTGCAAACTCCCAGCCTGTCGCTTCTTGGCCATGCCCTGTGCCGACCACGGGTTTCTTCTTCCCAGGGCTCCTGGCAGAGGCAGGCGTGCAGCTGCTGTCCTACCAGACCTCGGTGGTGTCGGATGGGGAGACGTGGCACGTCATGGGCATCTCCTCCCTGCTGCCCAGCCTGGACGCCTGGAAGCAGCACGTGACCGAAGCCTTCCAGTTCCACTTCTAACCTCGGGCTCACCAGGCCCAGCCTCGGGCTTTGTGGTCAACACTGAGAGGTCACGTTCTTGGGGCTGACCCCTGTAGCACAGCAATTACCACCTAATAAACAGCCCACCCCACCTCCTCCTTACTTTGTGTTGTCATTACCCACAAGAGCCACCAGAGGGCGACTACCGGCAGCCATGGGGTTGGCTTGGGCTGCTGGATCTGGATGGGCAAACTGCATGCCTGGAGTGGGGACTCTGACGGGGATCTCCCTCCTGTCTCGGTTGTTCAGAGGCATTTTTACAGCAACAAAACTTGCTATTTCAGAACCCGTCCATCTTGAACCAGACATGGCTGGATGATTTGCCAAAGAGGAGCATTAAAACCCAGACTTCTCCCATACCCGCCTGGTGGGAGAGACAGTGCCACCGCGGGTGCTTATGAATTCTGTGGAGTCCAGGGGAGGAAGTAATTCAGCTGAAGGTGTTTGGGAGGATTTCTTAAGGGGAAGAAAGTGAGTGAGACATGGGGCGTGAGGATGTTAGGTGAGTTTGCGAAGCCAGCTCAGTATGGGTTGGATAGTATAATACTTGATTTTTTTTTTTTAAAGATAATTTTCATAAACATGACAGAATGGCACTTCCTGACCCTACGGATTTCACCTGCTGGGGGTTTTTCCCTGTCGTTGGGGATGCAGCAGACGTACCTGTGCTCACTAGCTTCTGTTTTTGAGACTGCTGCCCGGGGATAAAGCCTGGCACAGGGCATCTGATGGGCACTGACAGGAGCAAACCCACACTTGGGCCTCCGTGCTGTGGTTGAGCTGCAGGCTGGCGCACCTGCAGGACTCGGAGCCGGCGTGCCGTCCCCTGGCTGTGGCAGACCCAGGAGATGGGCTGGATGAGGACCGTGGGCTGGCAGCAGCACCGACTCACCACTGTTTATAGGACGGACCTGAGGCCTCTAGTGAACCTTGTTTTTTCATTCCTGTGCCTTTAAGTTAACCGGTCTCAGTTGCACACAGAACCCCTTGCACTAAAGAGCCTGCCCCTTGACCAAGTGATAATACTCACTTGGATCTGGACGGGGTGTCCTAACTACCAGATGACCCCTCCTCTCCTACTGGAAAGGGAACTATGCATCACGGGGCATCTGGTGAAGGGGTCCCTGAGCCCATGGCAGCTAGAAAAACAAGCAGAGATTGATGAAATTAAGATTTGAGCTCAATTTTCAGCCTCGTCCCTCAAAACTCCCTAGACAAACCATACTCTGCGCTCTCAGGTGGCCAGAACAATTTTAGAAACCCAAATTACTTGAGCATCCCACAATATCTTTGTGGATATGGGTGGCATGTCACTGCATAGGGCCATTTCACCGCATTGCTCTGTTTCGTGACTGTCCACATCAACTCTCAAGTGTAAAAAGGGAAGATCAATGAAAAACCCAGCTGGTGCCCACAGAGGGCGCTGTCTAGTCCTTGGCGTTCTGCTGGCGTGTGGCACCTTCGCACCGCCTAACTTCAGAGTGGAATGTCATTCTTGTGGATCTTGGCTGGGAATATGCACAGCCAGTTTCTCGTAAGTTCGGTGATGGAGGCGGCAGATACTGGAACAGGAGGCAGCTGGCCTCAGAATTCTGGAACTCCTGTTTAGAAAGGTGTGTGCGTGCGTGTGCATGCGTGTACACGTGAGTGTGTGTGCGCGCGCGCGTGCTGGATGGACCATTCTTCACTCTGACGTTGCGCACTCTTGCTTAAGATGAATATAACTGCTTTCTGTCCTGTTCTAGTAATCACTCATCCTCTCCCCTGCTCTGGGTCACCCTGGGTGGTTTTTGCCCACACAGGGAAGTTCTTTATCTGCATGATATTAGCAGTCCTTAGGATGAAAGGGTAACAGGGCAACTGGAAACTCATTTCCTCCTATGTTGACGGTATTTGGGGAAAAGGGCCTTGTCCAGAGGCAGCAGGGGTCAGTTTTAATGTGGGTCCCAGAGCTACTCCAGGAAAGCCGAGGGCTCAGTATCAAAGTCAGGGAAGGGGAGGGGGAGCCTCTCTGGTTAATGGTGGCGATGGCCAGTGCCACCCTGAGTGCCCTGGGGTGAACCAGGGCTGGTTTTCAGCCGGTGTGCAGGGGTATGGGCAGCACCATTCAACTGGTCATCGTCCTGTTAGGCTCATTAACTACTGGTAACATCAACCCTGCGCTTTGTCCAAAGATCGCTGAGCAGAGGTAGGGCTGGCGCCAGCATCGGGCACCACAGGCGGTCCTGGCTGCTGAGGCTGGGGCACCATGGACGGTCCTGGCTGCTGAGGCCGGGGAGGCAGTTCGAGCATTGAGAGCCCCTGTGAACTATAGTCCCAGAGTCTCTGATCTCAAGAACTCAGGTGAACATGGGCTTTTCCCCCATGACCACACACACCACTTGGGAGATCTCAGCAAAGGCATATGTTATCCTGTCAGGGATGCTAACCGGACCGAGGGCCCCCAGACAGCATGCAGAGGGGAGCGGGCGGCAAGGGGCTGCTGGGGGGCAGCCACAGCTGGGGGAGTGGCCTGGAGCCAGCCCCTGGGGAGGGTCAGGGAAGGGCGTCAGCTGACGCTGGATTAGCTGCTCACGTTGGGGTTTATCCCGGATTTCCTGGTCCTGTTGGGACATGAGCAGCCTCCTCCCCAGCCCCCATCTCCCTGAGCCATCGCTGTTTTATAAGAGGACCCTGGAAAGAGGGGTGCCCTGACCCAAGGGGACAAACAACCTCTAGTGGAAAAATTCCCTGCTAGGCATCAAAAGTGGTTTTTTGGCCGGAGGAGCCCAAAGCGTAACCCATTAACCCCTGTGTTTACTCGTTCAGATAACACTGGCTCCTCCCACGCACGGGCAGAGCCCACAGGGCTTTGACCTACAAGCTTCCGTCATTGCGGCCGCAGGCTGCTGCTGTCCCCCACGGGCGTCTCTAGATCAGGGAAGGAAGCTGGGGGCCCAGCTGGGCCGTTCACCCCCGTGGACCTCAGAACGGGTGTGGACGGGGAGGCGGCGAGGGGAGATCGCGGAGTGTGCTCAGCACCGTGCTGCGGGGCTGGGGGCTGGGGGTGGGTCCCGGCAGCCTGGGGAGTGGGGTTCTCAGAACCAGGGGCCAGGAGGCCTGCAGGCTTCTCTGCAGGAAGTAGAAGAATGGTTTCCTCCTTTTCTTTCTTGAGTATTTAATTTTATTTTCTTGCTTGTGATTTTTGTTTCTGTGCACAATTGGGGCTTGGCTGCCCCTCTTGCCTTTTACTTTGTTATTTTATTATATAAGTTTCATGTGTACAGCATTATGATTTGACATCTGTATACACTACAAAGTCATCTCTCTCCAGAGTGTAGTTATTATCCGGCACCTACAATTGACCTTTTCACCCTTTACCTCTCAACTTCTCTATCTTGTTAATGGTGTTATATTAGCTTAGTACCACGTATAACATTTAGAAATTCACAGACAAAACTAAAGATACAACAGCACAGAAATTTAACAACAACAACAATAACAACAAAGCTACTAACAAATGACAGACAAGTAATCTGGATCTTGGAGGCCACAGGTCTGCCACGTTTCTGGAGGTCAAGGCCAGGCCTTCTCTCCATCTCTTTCTCACAGAGGGCCCCTGGCCCACGGCCACAAGCCCATGACAGTGACCGCTGCAGGAAATGCATGAAGGACCCTCATGCATGAGGGTGGCGGTCTCTCTGCGGGGCCAGTGTTTACGGGCTAGTGTGTCCAAGCCAATCTATTTACCAGCGAAGAGTGGGTTTGTTTTTTACTTGATTTGTGGGCAAAGGCTCTGCTAACATCTCTTTTCCCAGGAGCCATCCATGGAGCTGTAGAATTTAAGAAGCAAGAACAGGACACTGAGTCGGGAGTCTCACCCTGGGCACCCCACCCCCACCCCCAGCACCTGCTCCCTGCCTGAGGCAGGGCTGGGCACCGGGCCCCTCCTGTCTGCGTGCTGAGGTCCCAGATACCACACTGCCTCCCTCCCCCAGCTCCCAGCCCTGCCGCCTGAGGGACCCGTGCCCAGTGCCAGCGGAGCCAAGGCTGGGAGGTCGCAGTCCCCAGGTTGGGGTCTGTCCCAGAGGGGCGCAGGCTGGGCAGAGGGCAGTGCAGAGACCCACAGAGCTCCGGAGAGCCCTGCCCTGACTCCAAGTCCTGTTTCAGCCAGAATCTCGTTGGTGTGCGGGATGGGCACGGGCAAGTCCAGCAGCCCCAGCTTTCTCTCGGGGGCACAGTGCTGCCTGAGCACCCAGGAGCTTGTCCACCCAGAGAGGGAGGGAGCCAGACACTGAAACACTCCTTTCAAAACCCCAAATTTCTCTCTTTCTCTCTCCCTCCATCCTTTCCCTGCCCCCACTCCTGATGACTAAACTAGCTTGACACATTTAACAGCCCCCCTTTGCCACGGACTTTCCCTTAAGAACCACATTTCGAACAGCAACCGAGCAGTGTTGGGGTCACCCAGGCTGCCTTCTCATCCACAGCTGCGGCCCCAGGCCAGGTCCCTGGCCCCCCCACCCAGCTCCTCAGATGCCAGCACCTGGCAGTGGGGAGGCCCCCTCACTGGTAGGTTTCTGCTTTATCTCAGTATTTCCTTTATCTGTGGACTTCTCCCTCCTGGTCTCCTGCTCCACACCCTGCCCTTGGCACCCCTTTATTCTTCCCCCTTCACCTACTAAAGGAGGGAAACAAAGAACAAAACAGAAAAATATAGAGGAAGTATTTGGGCTTGGGACTGTGTTTATCGAGATGTATGTTGTAAAAGAACTTGCTTCTCACTCTTCTTTTCCCCTTATCTTACCAACCTGGAAGATAGACTGAAGGCAGCTATCTGGGTCCATGAACTATAAGGTTCTAATTCCGAATACTTGATTTTTCTTTAAAAAGGAGCCAAAAGAAGTCTCTCATTTCTCCTCTGGCCCCAAACCTCTTGCATGAAACTCTTCTCCCCTTCAGATCTGTTTTCTTTAGGAATCTGTCCCTTCCACGCTGGTGTGTACCTGTTCTGAAGCTATTGGTTTTCATCACCGATCTCCCCCTTTGGAGTACTGGGCTCCACAGGTTCAAGGTCACAGCCTGCTTCCCTTAAGGTGCTAATCTTGTTCTGTTGGGCTTCCAGGGGAGCTGCCTGTCATGAGCAGATCAGATAAACAAGCTGCCTCTGTTTTTCACCTGCAAGATTTAAGGACATGCCCCTCTCCTCTGCTTTTGGCTTTCCAGGGCAAAGGGCCCTAGGTGTTATTCTTGGTCTTCATGGTACAAACTCCCCACCTCTGATCATTTTGGGAGCGACAGACCCTCTCAGGCCTAGTTACACGATCAGAGCTGCTTCCGTTCCCCAGAGGAAAACCTTTACGCCACCAACCCCGCGAAGTGTCACTCACCACCTTCAGACCGGACACCGGGCATACTTTCGGCGGTGCAGCTCGTCCACTCTCTCCAGGTACCAGGTGCCGGGGAAAAGGCTGCTTGTATCACCAGGGGGTGAGAAATTCACTGTGGAGCGAAAACAGGCAATGCTGAAAAAGAGCTACATGCGGTTGGAGAGGAGAAAATAGTGATAGGGACTCCGCTAGCTCCATGGTGACACTTTCCTGCTGTGTTGCAAGGGGCTGTGAGGTCACCTGGACACCCAACGGGGCACTGGGCCAGCAGAAAAACAAGAGAAAATCTGGTCCATAAGGATCTAGTCCAGAAGGCTCTGCTTTAGAGTTTTTATCATAGAAGTATGACATTTCCTGCAGTAAACAGGCCCTCCCAACACTGAGATCTTCCTTGTGTCCTTTTGTCGATGGTACTCAGCTCGAGGAGTAACTCAGCGTCCTGTTCCCTAACAGACACTCCTCCTGGGTCCTAAGTTCTCGGACTGATTTATGGTATTTCAGTGTCCTGTCTGTTAATGTTCATCTCAGGGGTCCTACTTTATTTCCATAATTTTTCTTCTTTGCTCTAACATGTCCCCTCTTCCAGATAAGATCAATGACTACCGCACATCTAGGTTTTCTGGGACGTTCCCAGTTCTGTAAGTTCTGTCGCTTTCAGACCGCAGTGCAAACATAAGTCTCAAGGCTTGCTTGAGAAAACAGTCACCGTGGTTTTAAAATCACCACGCGTCTCTCCAATCATACTTTTAGTTTTAATTTGTTTGGCGATCCTGCAAAATTGGCAGGATTTTAGAAATGAGACAACTGTGAAAAGTTCAATGATTTTCCCAAAGAGAAGGCGCTAGCGCGTGTCACGGGTCAGTTAGATTTAGATGTCTGGCTCCAAAGTCGGCTCCTTCGACCGCTGTGTGGATGGTGTTTCAAAGATCGTGCCTCTGGCTTCGTGGGCTACACTGGCCAGCGCCCTGTTTTGGGCGGGGAGCTGCAATCTATACCGAGAAGCCACGGGCTGCCGGCTACCTCACCCCAAATCTGTCTTTTGCTTCCCCACCCAGTTCTTGCCCCGTGGCCCCTCACAGATCCCCTCCCAGTCATGCCTTTGAGACATCTTCACCGGGGCCCACTATGTTCTGGACCTTGATGAATCCCTGGTTCTCAGCTACTGGCCCAGGATCTGAGCACAGTGGCGTCTCCTGCTCTCTCCCTGCCTTCCTACCCTTGTGGTAGAAGTGTTCCCTCTGTTCCATGATCTCCGTGAACTCCTCCGCAGAGATGCGCCGCCGGGCGGCGAGGCGTGTGGGCAGGTCTGCCATGCTGGACACCAGCTGCTCCAGGGGGGAGCCTGCGAAGCAACGCGAGATGCTTACCCTGCTTGTCACTGTCACTGCTGCCCACCACCAGCCCAGGCAGCCGGCTTCGTGGGGGCTCGGACTGGGGTGCTCCAGTGTGGCTTAGAGTACGAGGACGAGATCGAGGCCAGCAAACAAGGTGCTGGCAAAGCACAGGGGCAGACACACTCATCCGGCCCAGGGGCATCGCTCTCTGTCTCTATTTTATTTAATCCTCACCCGAGGATATTTTTTCATTTTAATTCAGAGAGAGTAGGAGGGAGGGAGGGAGAGAGAGAGAAACATTCATGTGAGAGAGACACATCGACTGGTTGCCTCCCGCATGACCCCGACCAGGGCCGGGGACAAACCACAACCAAGGTACGTGCCCTTGACTGGAATCGAACCCGGGACTCATTGGTCTGTGAGCTGACGCTCTAATTGCTGAGCCAAACCAGCCAAGGCTCTCTCTTTTTTAAAAATATTTTCATTGATTTTTTTTTTTTTTTAGAGAGAAAGGAAGGGAAAGAGAGGTAGAAATATTGATGTGGGAGAGAAACATCGATTGGCTGCCTCCTGCATGCCCCCGACTGGGGATGGAGCCCACAACCCGGGCATGTGCCCTGACTGGGAGTCGAACCGGGACCTCTCAGTCCGTGGGACAATGCTCAGTCCACTGAGCCACACCGGCCGGGCCAGGTACACCTCACATAGTGCTCAGCGCTTTTATTACTTTCATCACATAATAATCAGCAACTGCCCTGGCCAGTTTGGCTCAGCGGTTAGAGCATTGGCCTGAGGATCCAAGGGCTGCGGGTTTGATTTCCTGTCAAGGGCATGTGCCTGGGTTGAGGTTCCATCCCCAGCCCTGTCTGGGTCATGCAGGAGGCAACCGATAGATGTGTCTCTCTTGCATGGATGTTTCTCCCTCTCTCCCTCCTTCTCTCCTTCTCTCCCTTCCACTCTAAAAATTAATGGAAAAATATCCTTGGGTGAGGATTAACCACCACCACCACCAACAACAACAACAACTAATAATAATAATAATCAACAATTCTTTACTGGATATCTCAAATCCACCAGCTTCTCTTTGGTCAGCTACGCGAAGCCACCATCACTCGGCCTGGACTGCTTGCTGGAACACCTTGTGGTCCCCACACCCACCGCAGTTCCAGGGAAGAGCTTCAAATACCCAAGTGAGACATGCTCACTCCACTGCGTGAATCCTTCGGGGATTTAATTGTTCCTAATCACATGATTCTGCCAAGGTGGGATCCTCGGTGGTGGTACAGATGAATCTTCCCGGACTTGCCTGATGGAAAGGCGGGCTCACCTGGAGACGCGTCCTGGGATGCGCGAAATGAAAAAAAACTTGCTGCCAAGCCAGAGCCGTAGGAATAGGCGCCGATCCTGGAGCCGGCCAGGTCCTGGGCAGAGTGCCTGCCGGGAAGAAACCAAGTCCCAGAAAACACATCAGCATTGCATTCTGCGCTTCTAACAAGCAACTAACCTATCGGCCCAATACACTTCACCTCTTCCAGCTGGACAGGGTTCCCAGCACTCCCACCAGAGGGACTTTTGGACACTGGGGTAGGTCCGAAGGGGAAAAAGGTGCCAAGAAGGAAACAACTAAAATTCAAGATGCAGAAGGCACAGGAAGCATAACAGAATTTTGGGGTGTACAAGGAGCGTCTCCCCACCCATGAAGACGAGGAGAGTTCTGTGAACTCTGAAGGCATCTCTGAGTGGAGGTCAGACCACTGGACTCATTGCAGGCTTCCAGCACTTGTAACTCTTCTACGGCCCCTCGTTAGTAATCATCAAGTTTATACTATATTCTATGCATTAACTACAGTACAAGTGTTTCCTTCTACATTCCATAAAATAGTGTCGATAGAAATAACAATAGACATTTGAGCATCTGCTGAGCATTACAGCTGTTTTTTTTTTTTTTTTATCCTCACCGGAGGACATTTTTCCATTTTTTGTTCAGATAGAGTAGGAGGGAGAGAGAGGAAGAGAGAGAGAGAGAAACATTGACGTGAAAGGGACACATCGAGTGGCTGCCTCCTGCACGACCCAACCAGGGCTGGGGACAAACTGCAACCGAGGTACATGCCCTTAGCGGGAACTGAACCCCGGTCTCTCTCTGGACTGCAGGCCAACGCTCTAACCACTGACCCAAACCGGCCAGGGTGAGCATTACAGTCCTAAGTGCTTTTGACATGTAACACTCATTCAGACCCTGGGGGTGCCTGTTGTTGCATATATTTTATAGACAGGAAAAGTGAGGCACATAGAGGTCAAGGATTTTCCCAAGGTCAAAGTTAGTAAGTAGTAAAGAGATCTGAACCTAGGTGTGGGCTCTAAAACTAGACTCTGTTAACCATTATGTTTTACAAAGTATAGAGATTTTAAATGGATGAGATAAAACTATGCACAAAAGTGCCTCTATTTCCTTGCTGCGTCAAGTAGATCTTGCATATCCCCTGACATGATACATAAACTTCACCTTGGAGACGACTGTTTAATACTGATAGTGAACCTCCTATACCTTTGTTATTGTTTTCATCCTCACCTGAGGATATTTTTCTATTTATCTTCAGACAGAGTGGGAGGGAGGGGGGGAGAGAGAGAGAGATAGAGAGAGAGAGAGAGAGAGAGAGAGAGAGAGAGAGACATCGACATGAGAGGGACACATCAACAGGTTGCCTCCCGCATTACCCTAACCATGGCCAGGGACGAACCGAAACCAAAGTAAGTGCCCTTGATGGGGATCGAACCCTCAACTCATTGGTCCGAGGGCCGATGCCCTAACTGCTGCGCCAACCAGCCAGGGCCCTATGCATACCTTTAAAACACGTTTCTTTCGCCTCCCTTTCTCCTTTCCTACCTGCCTTCCTTTCTTCTTTCTTCCTTTTTAAAATAATAAATAACCAGAAGAGGACACCGACTCGGTGGACCCTCAGACCACGGGTGGGAGGTGGGAAGCGGGGTGGACAGTACTCACTGGGACAGAAGTGAGGCCAGGCACCCGTAGAGGGACGAGGTGTACATGTTCCCGTTGTGCGTGGACAGGTAAAGAGAGGCCTTGCTCTTCTTGTTGAACGCGTCCAGAGAGGCCTTCATGAGGGCCTTCTCCACGTCCTTGTTCGTGTAGGTGTCTTCCAGCTTCAGGCCCCTGTGAGGTGGCAGAGGGCGGGGCTGGTGAAAGGCCCGGGGGAGGGGGGGGCGGGGCGTGAGGGGGAAGGGGCGCTTCTGGAGGGAAGAGTTTTGGGCACACGGTTTTCTTACAGAACATTTAGAAACACAGGAAAGCGCAGAGATGGAAATGTCACTAATACCCCTGCCATTGGGAGAGAGCGCGCAGGTCATAACTCGTGTGGAATCCATCCCGACTTCATACAGGGTATTGGGCAATGAAGTCATGCTTACATTCTGTTTGCATGCTTCCTTAACTATTTTTCTCTCTGACATTAAATCACCTTCTATAACATTATTTTTAAAGGCTGCAAGAATGGGCCATGATAGCATTGACCCTACTTTGGCCCATCTCCCCATTCCTGTCCTCACTAGTTAAAATACTACAAAATAATCTACATGTTCTTTTTTATTTTTGTTTTTATTTTTATTTTCTCTATTGCTTTTAGAGAGAGAGGAAGAGAGAGATAGAAACATCGATCAGAGAGGACATTGATTGGCTGCCTCCTGCGTGCCCCCCACTGGGGATTGGGCCCACAACCTGGGCATGTGCCCTGACTGGGAATTGAACCAGCGACCTCTTGATGCATGGGTCACCGCTCAACCACTGAGCTACACTGGCCGGGCTCTACATGTTCTTTTAAACATGAAAATCCTGAGCCAAAAGGCATTCACATCATTAGGCCCTTTGCTTCATGTTTTGCTGTTGCTCCCCCAAAACCCTGTGTCAATGTACGTTCCCACTGTCGCTCATTCTCCCATAACCTCGTCAGTTCTGGGCACTCAAACTTTTAAAAGTCTGGGTAGAGAACATGATCATTGTCTAACTTTGTTACTAATGAGCACACACAGTTCTTCCTTGAGGAAGTGTCTTATCCATATCCTTTGCTCTGTTTTCTACTCCAGTGCTTATCTTATCATTGACATGATTTGACTATATTAAAGATACTAGGCTGGCCTGTGGCCACCTCAGTCAGAGGGACACAGAAGGGTGGCTGCACCCTGTTGGCCCTGCGCACATTCTTGGCCCTGTTGCCTCTGCCTATTTCAATAAAGAACTGTTCAAAAAAAAAAAAAAAAGATAATTATGTTATTGTCTTTGGCCTATGTTAGGATTTTTTGTGTGTGTTATGGAGCAGGTCTCGTGAGCTGTGTTTGTGCTAATTTCGGAGTGTTAGTCAGGGGCTGGTGTTTGAGTTAGTAGCAGTGGTTCGTACTGGGGCAGATATTGGCGGCATATTACAGAACTTGATATGGATAGTTACCAAGAAGAAAGGGAACATTCTCTTCCTAGTGGGAATTCTCTGCATTGAAGATTCTGTTTTCTAAGTATCTTGGAGCAAGGCATCAATAAATGGCCTTCTTCCTGCTTCACTGACCTCCACGAGGGTGAGCCGGACAATCTCGATTTCATAGATGGGGACATGGAGGCGACAAGCCAGTGGCGAGAGGGAGTGAGACCGGACACTCGCCGAGCGGCGGTCCTGTCCTGAGTTTATGTCCTTCTAGGTGTTTCTGTCCACAGACTGCCAGAGCCTCTAGGCAGAGAGCAGGCGACGCTGGCTTCGGTGTCCCTGCAGCTAGTACGACGCCTGGCACACAGCTCACTTCATCGAATGTTTACTGACTGAGTGATGTAGCCACAGGCTCGCCCCTTTCTCTGCTCTGAAGCGTCTCACAGTCCCTCGGCCCGGAGGTGCTGGCAGACGCCCTGTGCTCCCCACTACCGGGCGGAGGAGCCAGGTGACAGCCACCCAAGAACCCTGTGAGGCTGGGTGTCACTCCTGCTGTGTTGGAGGGGAGTCCTCGCCCCCACAGGAGTGGCTGGGGTCCAGACTCCAGGCTCGGCCCTCGCGAGCCGCCAGGCTCCCCCACAGGACTCACTTGAGGGCCTCCAGCCCCTTGTAGCGGCTGCTCTGGGCGTCACTGCTGGCGGACAGGAAGTCATGGAACATCAGGCGAGCCAGGGATTTCTGGGCCATCCTGCAGAACGGCGTGTGGAAGACCATGAACTGTAAGTCATCGAGAGTGAAAGTGCGGTCGACGCCAGCTGGAGGAGCAAGTGTGAAAGCAGGAAGATGGATGGCGGACCAGCCCTCAGACCTCCGCCCTCGCCTCCGCCTGAGCGAGGGTCGCGGCCCGCCAGCAACACTCACGGGCTTGCTCACCACCTTCCGCATCTCCCTGCGCACCCTCCTTACAAAGGAGGAAGGGAAAGACGACATGTTCTTCCTGTCCACTATGGCCAACCTCTGCGGAAGAATTCTTCCACCCTTGCCGGGGTGGCTCAGTGGTTAGAGTGTCAGCCCAAGGACCAAAGGGTCACAGGTTCGATTCCTGGTCAAGGGCACGTACCTTGATTGCAGGTTCCATCCCAGGCCTGGTCAGTCAGGGTCGTGGGAGGCAACCAGTCGATGTCTCTCTCTCACATCGATGTTTCTCTCTCTCTCTCCCTCCCTCCCTGTCACTCTATCTAAAAAGAAAAATCAATGGAAAAATATCCTTGGGTGAGGATTTTTATTTTTTATTTATTTATTTATTTTTAATCCTCACCCGAGGACATTTTCCCATTTTTTTGTTCAGGTAGAGTGGGAAGGAGAGAGGGGAACAGAGAGAGAGAGAGAGAGAGAGAGAGAGAGAGAAACATCGATGTGAAAGGAACACATCGAGTGGCCGCCACCCGCACGACCGACCAGGGCCGGGGACAAACTGCAACCGAGGTACATGCCCTTAGCGGGAACCGAACCCGGGTCTCTCAGGACCGCAGGCCGACGCTCTAACCGCTGAGCCAAACCAGCCAGGGCTCCCTGTCACTCTATCTAAAAAGAAAAATCAATGGAAAAATATCGTTGGGTGAGGATTTTTAAAAATCCGCGTGAGAATATGGAATAAAATGGAATGCCATAAGAACTTCGAGGCGGTGGCAGCAATTAGCCAACAGCAGTTTCACGGTGGGTGGGCAGAGGACCAGGCGACCCTCACCACGGGGGCAGGTGGTAGCTGGCATTTCACCCGTGGCTCCTGACGCCAACCCCAGGACCCACGCTCTTGTGCTTCAGCACCTGCCTCTTCCCGCACGGAGGCCTGCCTTCTGCTGGTGCCCTTCTGGGCATGGCTGAGCAGGTAAGGGCCGCCTTTATTTTGTAAATGTAGGTTTGTCTTTATTTCCAAAATAAAATTTGTTTCTTTTCTGATTATAAAAGCAGTGCATATATTTTAGAGGACAATTTGGAAACGGAAGGTAAAAATAAAATCAACTTGTGACCACCATCCAGAGGAAAATCACTAATAACAGTATACTGAAAATACAGGTAAGATTTTTCAACATCAACCAGACTTTCAAAGGTGGCAAACTACAGCCAAGCATCAAATCACTCCTGGCTTCAGCAGACACAAACCCCAGGCCTAGTAGGGTGTGGTTACTCTGACTCACTACAGCACCTCCCCAGGTGGCTGACACCCACTGGTTCCACACAGGTGGCTTTGGCCTAGATTGTTTACTTTATTTAGCTCAAGTTAGAGGCACATTTTTTAAAATCCGCACCCCAGGATATTTTCCCACTTATCTTCAGATAGAGTGGGAGGGAGAGAGAGAGAGAGAGAAACATTGATGTGAGAGAGATACATCAACTGGTTGCCACCCATATGACCTGGACCAAGGCCAGGGACTAACTGAAACTGAGGTATATAGCTAGAATTGAGCCCGTGACTCTTTGGTCCTCGGCCCATGCTCAAACGCTGAGCTAAACCAGCCAGCACATAGAGGTAATTTTATTTATTTATTTATTTTTTTAAATCCTCATCCAAGGACATTTTTGCATTTATCTTCAGATAGAGAGGGAGGGACGGAGAGAGAGAGAAACATCGATGTGAGAGAGACACATCGAGTGGTTGCCACCCACATGACCCCAACCAGGGCCGGGGACAAACTGCAACGGAGGTACATGCCCTTAGCGGGAACTGAACCCAGGACTCTCCGGTCCTTGGGCCAACACTCCAACCACTGAGCCGAACTGGCCAGGGCTAGAGGTAATTTTATACTTGAGTTTGAATGACTACCAAATGGACTTGAACATCGACCTAAGGAAGGGTGTAAGAAGAAGGGGACATGAAACAATTCTCTTGAGATCATTTTCAGAGGACAGAAGAGACCTTGTCTTAAGCTCTTAGGACAAACTCTTGGCCCCATGTACACTGAACCTCCGCTTTCTGTCCTCTGAGCCCCATACCTTGTTTCCACTGGTTCTGAATTTTCTGACGGTATACTTTGTAACATTGGTCCAAGGCCCGTATGTAGCACTGGATGGAGAACTGCCCATCCACCATTGGGTACTCCGTAGACCCATCTGGTTTGTAGAAATCATATACGTTCTCCATGTGGGTTCCCCGAAGCCCTGGCAAGACACACATTGGGGTTCAGAGACTACCCAGCGCAGCCCATGGCGAGCAGAGAGGACGGGAAAATCATTATAGCCTCTTGGTTTTCATCCGTCTCAGGCCCAAGCCCGAGCCCACTCCGCATCCCTCACATGTTCAAAGGCAGTGAAATAGATGGTTGCTCTTACATAAATGAGACCCATTTCTTTCTCCTTCCACACCTATATGGGTTTAACAAAATCTGTAATCGATGCCAAATCTCAAAAGAAAGATTTTTTTATTTTATACCCACTTATCATCTTTCATCTTCAATTGTCAGTTTAGCTCAAAGATTCTTGTTAAAGCATCAGCACCATTTATTCCACGCATCATTATCCCAACGAGCAATGGTGCAGAGGAGGAAACCCCCCTGATCCCTCTCTTCCCTTTCTGCTCCCCAGTCCCACCGATAGACAGCAAGTGCTATTCTCACATCTATCCTTCGGCCCTGCAGAGTGGGTATGCCAGTCTGGGATCAGGAGCTGTGCATTTGGCCATGCCGTGTACAATCTCTTGGTACCACGCATCCACAGGTTACTACAAACCTCTCTCAAGGGCCAGAGGGGCCTGGGGCCCAATCAGCATTGCCACGGCTCCAGCCCCTCCTGAGGGGCGAAGAGTACTATTGGAATACACCGCGATGTCTCCGCAGACCACCACTGCATAGCGACCTGGAATGAGAGACAAGAAATAATTATCATCACTACCAGCTCTCTAGTAGACAGTGCCTCCTGTGTGCCAGGCACAATTTCAGGTATTAAAGGTAGACTGGCAAACAAAACCAAAAATCCCTAGTCCATGGAGCTTATGTTCTAGCAAAATTCATTGTGACACAATTGAAATGCAAAGTCAATAGTCAATGCTCTGGCCAGTGTGGTTCAGTTGGCTGGGTGTCATCCTGTGCACCTAAAGGTTGCCCATTCAATTCCCAGTCGGAATCCTGGGTTGTGGGCTCGATCCCCAGTGGGGGGCATGCAGGAGGCAGCCAATTGACGTTTTGCTCTCACATCAATGTTTCTCTCTCTCTCCCCCTCTCTGTTGCTCTCTCTCTAAAAATCAATAAAAATATGTAAAGAAATGCAAAGTCAAAACTCAATGTCCTATTACTCTACCTAAAATATGCTTATTTATTCAGAATCCTGTTTCTAAATTCAATGAAAAATGTATTAATTGGCACTTTTGGGGGTACTTTAGGTACACTCTGGCTGAAATTCCTTCCCATAGAAAGCTAAAGGGTAGGAATGGAAACTAACATTTGAGAAACTAGCTAGACATTAGTTATCCTCAAACAATTCTGAAAACCAGCCAATGAGGCAGATAACATCTACATTTACAGGGGGAGTCACCACCTTCCAGGGAGATTCAGTAACCTGTTACGGTCTCACATCTAGTGAATACGGAACTTGATATTCAAACCCAGTTCTGACTGGATCCTAAACCATGTCTTTGAACAACCTGATAGTATTTTTTTTTTTATCCTCACCTGAGAACATTTTTTCCATATTTTGTTCAGATAGAGTGGGAGGGAGAGAGAGAGAGAAACATCAACGTGAAAGGGACACATCGAGGTGTTGCCACCCGCATGACCCAACCAGGGCCAGGGACAAACTGCAACCCAGGTACGTGCCTTAGCGGGAACCAAACCTGGGTCTCTCTGGACCGCAGGCCAATGCTCTAACCGCTGAGCCAAACTGGCCAGGACCCTGATAGCATTTTTATTGTGAAAGGTTTATGTTGAGTAATGACATTTACTATAGATGATTTATAGTTACTACCTCTATAACAGTCAGAATATTATTCAATAAATAAGTGTTGTCTTCACTATTATTTGTTCCACTTTCATCTGATAATACTGCCCCCTGTCATCCCTTGTAGAAAACAAACAAAGAAGCAAATCAAAAACACACCAAACTTGAGCTTCCGGGAGAGACATGGCAGTAATTGGAGGGTCTGCTAAGTTGAAGCCCCTGGGATTTCGCCCAGTGCTGTTTTGGGAGCCATGTTTGTATGTAACTTAATCCTCATGATGACCCTATATATTATATACAGTTATCACCCTTTTTAAAAAAAATATATGTTTTTATGGATATTTTAGAGAGAGAGGAAGGGAGAGAGAGACAGAAACGTTGATTGGCTGCCTCCTGCACACCGCCCCCCGCCCCGGGGATCCAACCCGCAACCCGGGCTTGAGCCCTGATTGGAAATTGAAGCGGGACCTCTCAGTCCATGGGAGGATGCTGAGTACACTGGCCGGGCCAGTTATCTCCTTTCTATAGACGAAGAGATTGAGGCCTGAAGAACTCCAGTCACTCGTCCAGAGCCACACAGCTAATAGATGGCACAAAACGGATTCAGTGAGGATTCCAACCCACATTCAGTGAAATCTAAGGGCCTTCTCTTAAGAATTATAACAATTCCAACTCCAATCCCAACAAAAAAATATTTTCCCCATACACACACACACACACACACACACACACACACTTCTGTATCTTTGTCTGAGTCTGTATATATATATCTATATGTATGTATATATGTATTTAGAAGCCATTAAGGAAACAACTCAATAAATTTGACTACTTAAAAATGAAAACCTTCTACCAGAAACAAGCTCAAGCCTGGCTGGTGTGGTTCAGTGGTTGAGCGTCGACCCACGCACCAAGAGATCGCTGGTTTGATTCTTGGTCAGGGCACATGCCCGGGTTGTGGGCCTGATCCCCAGTGGGGTGCATGCAGGAGGCGGCCAATCGATGTTCCCTCTCATCAATATTTCTATCTCTCTTCCTTCTCCCTTCCTCTCTCTCTAAAATCAATAAAGAAAAGTCATTCAAAAATAAAGACTTTAGCCCTGGCTGTTTTGGCTCAGCGGTTAGAGCATTGGCCTATGGACTGGGGAGTCCCGGGTTTGGTTCCCGCTAAGGGCACGTACCTCGGTTGCAATTCATCCCCGGCCTTAGTTGGGGTTGTGAGGGTGGCAACCAGTTGATGTGCCTCTCTCACATTGATGTTTCTCTCTCTTCCTCTCTCTCCCCCTCCTGCTCTATCTGAAGATAAATGCAAAAATGTCCTTGGGTGAAGATTAAAAAGAAAAGAAACAAACTCAAAAGACAAACTGGGGAAGTATTTACAATACTTATAACCCACAAAAAGCTATTTTTCTTCTTTTATAAAAGTCTCATAGAAAAGACAAAGAATGTAAGAGAGAAATGGCCAACAAATATTGTAAAAATATTGAAGCGCTCTTATAATGGAAAAAAAAGGGCAAATCAATGACACTATTATTTTACTTATAAAATTGACAGAGATCAGGTTTGCTAATAGTGTTGTAGAAAGATACTTTAGCCCTGGCCCGTTTTGCTCAGCAGTTAGAGCGTTGGCCCACGGACTGGAGAGTTCCGGGTTTGGTTCCCATTAAGGGCATGTACCTCGGTTGCAGTTTGTCCCTGGCCCTTGTTGGGGCTGTGTGGGTGGCGACCACTCGGTGTGTCTCTCTCACATCGATGTTTCTCTCTCTCTTTGTTCCCCCCTCTTCCTCCCACTCTATCTGAAGATAAATGCAAAAAGTCCTCCAGTGAGAATAAAAACGAAAAGAAAAAAAAAAAGGTACTTTAGTGCAACATTTTGAAGAGCAATTGGGCACATTGTATCAAACTCTTAAACCAACAACACATCCTGCAATTTCACTTCCAGAAATCTAGTCTTACAACCCTTTATCACAAGCAGGCAAAGCTGGTACAATGTCCACTAAAACATTATTTATAACTGCAAAAAGCAATAATCTAAAACAATATGGGGCTAATTAAGTAAAGTTTGGCATATTAATGAATAGACTATTGTTATTGTGTAGCTTTTAAAAGAAGAAAGTAGACCTTAAGTATATTGATATAGAATGACCTCTGGGACATCATAGAGATGAGAAATAATATGTATAATGTTAAAAATGAAAACTGAATAGATATGTGTATACTTGCAGGTACATAGAAGGAATATGGAAGAATCTGTAGACACTGCAAGTGTTAAAATCTACAAAGTGGTCATAAGGTGTCAAAAGGAAACCTTTTCTTCACTTTACACCCTTTTGTGCATGTGTAATGTGTGTGTGTGTTGTTTAAAGTATAAATTTCAATTACTTTTGTAAAAAAAAAAAAGACGAGAAAATATGAGGTCATCTGAGCCACTACCACCCACATCCTGTGGTTTCTCAGGAGTAATTCTGAACTTCTTGGTGAGTCCCTGAACCGCCTCCTCCCATCCAAGGGCCCCAGGTGGATGGTTGGCCAGGTCAGAAGCAGAGGTCTATCTCACCCACGCTGGCCTTGTCTGGTCTTGGCAGTAGCCATTAGGCTCAAGTTTAAATATGCCTTTTATTTTTATACAAAGTAACAATCCATATCTCAATAGTTTGTTTTTAATTTTCCCCATCAAGATGTCACATTAAAGCAGGGCTCAGTTGAAGCCCTCTTTTGTGGAATGCCCAGACACTCAGCAGAAGCTACTGACTCGAAATGACATGCTTAAAGCTGATGATGCTCCCAAATCTAGGCTCTGATTTTTGCTTAAAGGCTGGTAAGTGTCCCTTGCCTTTTATTCGTACTCTCCAACTAAATACTTGACTGGACATATTGGTGGTAAACACAGCAGGGGTTGCTGGAGATGTAATAAAATAAGGGCCAAGCAGGAGAAGCATTGTAAGGACGGTAAGGACAGATTTGATGACGTAGAGACTGGAACGTCCCAAATCAATGGAACTGCTGATGGCGTGGCTACGCAGAGCTGCGGGAAAGCACTGAATGGGTGTTTGGAATTCCACTGCTTTGCTGTGTGAACAGAGACAAACCGTTAAACTCTTCTTGGCCTCTTTTTAAAATAAAGAATATTGGGTTGGATAATCTCTAAGGTCCCTGGCAACATTAAGACTTCATAATTAATTTTATTTATTTATTTATTTATTTATTTATTTATTTATTTATTTATTTTATTTTTTATTTTTCATCCTCACCTGAGGATATTTTTCCATTTTTTGTACAGATAGAGTGGGAGGGAGAGAGAGGAAGGGAGAGAGAGAGAGAAACATCGACGTGAAGGGACACATCGAGTGGCTGCCACCCGCACGACCAACCAGGGCTGGGGACAAACTGCAACCAAGGTACGTGCCCTTAGCGGGAACCGAACCCGGGTCTCTCCGGACCGCAGGCCGACGCTCTAACCGCTGAGCAAAACTGGCCAGGGCCATAATTAATTTTATAATTAATGTTCATTATGGTTTCTAAGGTTTTAATTCTAGTTTCCAATTTAGTATATATCGAGTGCTTTGACTGCCCAGGTACTGTTCTTTCACACCTCCGTGGATAGCTGACTCAATTCTTTTTTTGTTTTTTTTTACCCTCACCCCGAGGACATTTTTCCATTTTTTGTTCAGATAGAGTGGGAAGGAGAGAGAGAGAGAGAGAGAGAGAGAGAGAGAGAGAGAGAGATGAATGTGAAAGGGACACATCGAGTGGTCACCATTTACATGACCCAACTAGGGCCGGGGACAAACTGCAACCGAGGTACATGCCCTTAGTGGGAACCGAACTCGGGTCTCTCTGGACCGCAGGCAGATGCTCCAACCACTGAGCCAAACCGGCCAGGGCTTCTTACTCAATTCTTTTACCAGCCCTGCAAAGCAGGTAAGCAAATAAGAACAATGAGGCTTGCCCTGGCCAATTTGGCTCAGCAGTCAGAGCATCAGCCCAAGGACTGAAGGATCATGCGTTTGATTCCCAGTCAAGGGCACGTACTTGGGTTGCAGGTTCCATCCCGTCCTGATTGGGGTCATGCGGGAGGCCACCAATCACATCAATATTCCCCCACCCCCTCTATCTAAAAATCAATGGAAGAATATCAGTGGGTGAGGATTAACAAAAAAAGAAAGAACTATGAGGCTGAAAGTCCATCAAACTTGTCAACAACATTGTGACAGAGCTAGGTTTCTAATTCTCAACTTGTACTGTTTCCTTTGGACCTTTTCATGCTATCACAACAGGGATTCTTTCTTGCAGTTGAGGGAAGACATAAGTAAGATACAGAGTCATGTCAATATGCAAAAGCAATGTCTAGGAACAACGCAAGGGAGAAAGAGTAGAAATAAATACTCATGTAACAGTCTATCCTGTGATTCTTCGGGCCTATTTTTACCGGGGCTTTTCCCCTTCACACTTAACTTTTTAAAATCTTTCAACATCACCAATCTCTTGCTCTCAGATACTTAGGAGAAACTGTAGAGGAACAGGTATGGTAAAATGGGAACGCTATTGGATCTGGCTCGGCCTATTGCCCTTGCCATCCACGGTACGTAAGATATCAGATCTTCCATTTTCTCAGCTACAAATCAGGGATCACACCTACTTCCTAGGATGTGGTGAGCATAAATGAATGGCTCTGGGAACACACTACCTCATTAACTGTACAGAGGTGTACAAGTCGAAGCGGCTGTTGTCGTGCCGGTTGTTGGATGCTAGCAGTAGCTGTGTGAGTAAGTTGTCCCCCCTTCCTGGATGAAGCTGCCTGGGGAACAGGGAAGCAAACTGAATGTTCGGTCTCCAGCCCCAGCCCCTTTCTTACGAAAGACCTCTGGCAGCACCTACCATCCCAGGAGCTGGACTCCATCCAGTTGGCAGCGTTGAAGAGGGAGGCAGTGCCACCGTAGCAGGCATTGGTGGTGTCGATGCCCTCAATGTCAGTGTTGCCTGAGTCCTGGAAGAGCTCCATGAGCACTGTTTTGACAGCCTTGGACTTGTCGATGATGGTCTCGGTGCCCACCTCCAGCCGGCCCACAGCGTCCCACGGGATCTTCGTGCGTTCCATCAGCCGCTGCAGCACCGTCAGGCACAGGGAGTTGATGTCCTCCTTGACGGAGCAGAAGCCCATGTGGGTTTGGCCCAAGCCCACTGTGAACCTCCCTGCTTGCACGTTGTAATACTTCTCCAGGTCTGCTTGGTCCACATACTGGGCTGGGAAATACACCTCCAGGGCAAGGATGCCCACGTCCTTTGGCCAAGTATCCCTTTTGGCCAAGGGGACAGCAGGGATGGTAGAAAACCTGCTGTGGAAATAGTAATCAAGATCCCACGAATGGTCTCTAGCCAGTTTCCTCAAGAAACAACACAGCGATCATTTCATTCATTTATAAAATATATTTTGAAGCTATGCTATCAGAAGAATACAAATTTAGGATTATTATATATTTCTTTTGAATTGACTCTTTTATTTCTTATTACATGTTCTTCTTTATCTGTGTGATCTTGCCGTAATGTCTACTTTTCCTGATGTTAATGAAGCTGCCTTAGTTTTTTTTTTTTATTATTGTTTGCCTGGTATATCTTTTTCTGTCCTTTTATACTTTTAACCTCGTAGGGTCTTTATATTTCATATGCATCTATTCTAAACAGCATATAGTTGGGTCTTTTAAAAATTTTAACAAAGTCTTACAATATTGGTGCTTTAACTGGGGTAATTAATTCAATTACATTAATTGTAATTATTGACATAGTTGGGATTAAGTCTACCATGTCACCATTTGTTTCTATTTGCCTCATATATTTATTTATTTATATTTTTTCTATATTCTTTTGGATTAAGCAAGTATTTACTATTCCATTTTATCTCTTTTTCTTCCAGTAATGATCTTAGTGATTGCAATATAATATATGGCTTATAGTATAACTTAAATGAATACAACTTTCTGAACAATGTGACACCCTATTTGAACTTCGTTTGTCCTCTCTAGCCCTTTGATCTGTTATTGTCATGTAGTTTACTGCTACAGATGTTATAACCCCATAGGGCATACTTCAAAAAAATGCATTTATTTTTATTTTATTTTATTTTATTTTTTTCTTAAATCCTCACCTGAGGACATTTTTGCATGTATCTTCAGAAAGAGCGGGAAGGAGAGAGGGGGAAGAGAGAGAATCATCAATGTGAGAGAGACACATTGAGTGGTTGCCACCCACACGACCCCAATGAGGACCAGGGACAAACTGCAATGAAAGTATGTGTCCTTAACAGGAAATGAACCCGGGACTCTCTGGTCTGCCAGCCGACACTCTAACTGCTGAGCAAAACTGGCCAGGGCAATTCATTCATTCGTTTTTATTTTTTATTTTTTTATCTTTATCCAAGGACATTTTTCCATTTTTTGTTCAGATAGAGTGGGAGGGAGAGAGAGAGAAACATCGACATGAAAGGGACACATCGAGTGGCTGCCTCCCACATGACCCAACCAGGGCCGGGGACAAACCACAACCCAGCTACGAGCCCCCAGCAGGAACCGAACCCGGGTCTCTCTGGACCGCAGGCCAACGCTCTAACTGCTGAGCCAAACCGGCCAGGGCCAATTCATTCATTTTTAAAGTGCCCTTCTTATTAGTCTCCCTTATCCTCTTTTTAAAAAAATTTTATTTATTGATTGATTTTTAGAGAGAGAGGAAGGGAGAGGGAGAGAGATAGAAACATCAATGAGAGAGAACATTGATTGGCTGCCTCCTGCATGCCCCCCACTGGGGGTCGGGCCCACAACCTGGGCATGTGTCCTGACAGGGAGTAGAACTGGCGACCTCTTGGTGGGTGGGTCAATGCTCAACCACTGAGCCATACTGGCCGGGCTCTTTCTTTTTTTCTACACAAGAACATTACTACTGTTTTTCTACTTTTTTTTCTTTTTTTTTTTTATCCTCACCCGAGGACATTTTTTCACCTTTTGTTCAGATAGAGTGGGAGGGAGAGAGAGGAAGAGAGAGAGAGAGAAACATCGACGTGAAAGGGACACATCTAGTTGCCACCCACACAACCCAACCAGGGCCGGGGACAAACTGCAACCGAGGTACATGCCCTTAACAGGAACCGAACCTGGGTCTCTCCGGACTGCAGGCTGACGCTCTAACCACTGAGAAACCCGGCCAGGGCATGTTTTTCTACTTTTAAGGAAGTTTTCTGCTTGATTTCATCCTCTCTGCTTTTCTTGATTAGGTCTCTTGATTTTTATTGAACACACTCAACACAGTGCTGGGTTCCAGGTGCACAGCAGCGAATCAGACATTCTCTGCATTCACCAAGAGGGCCCAGTTTAATGGGAGAAGCAGATATTGTTCCAAACACGGAGTGGAACAAGCAAAGGCTGTGAGAGGGCAGAGGGCAGAGGGCAGAGGGCACTTCTAATGGCAGGAGAGGGAAAATGGGGAAAAGGTCAGTAAAAGAAGAAAGACGATCTGTTTCCTTTCTGGACCCTCCCACCTCTCCTCCACCCTGCCTCCTAATGTCCCTGCTCAAAATGTGGAGTTTCCCTTCCACGTACAAGAACAGGGCTCACCAAGCCCACCTCCTACCTGTTCCCCCACGGAAGTACCTGAGGTCTGGTTACTCTAGTGCCAGCCTTCACTTTACAGATGGTGAAATCAAGGCACACACTGGTGAAGGGATGGGCTCAGAGCAACTTCACAGTTTATCTTGTGTTGGAGATCTTCTGTTCTTCCACTGTCCTGTGTGTGTCACACGCGTGAGTCACCAAGTCCCTTTGACTTGTGTCTGACTACAGGCTTTCTGACCGTGGAAGCGGGACAGGGTGGTCCCACACAGTTATACATCTAGCTGCATGCCACAGGCACTGTGGCCGATTCAGTGTGTCTGTCAGTCATCCTGAGGAGTCTGGGCTTCTGGTAACCCCACTGCTCCATCAGGAGGGTGACTTTGGGGGACTACTGAGGGGCAAAGGGGACCCCATGATCACACAGAGTGGGGCAAAGGGATAAACGTTCACCCATATCTGACAAGAGGGTTTGGAGTTTAGTTATCCTCCCTACGCATTTGGTGCTCCCACGCCCAATACCTGGAGTTTGTATCCCTATATTCGCGGAGGAGTCCCCTAGTGCCCGGAGCTGGTGGCCAGCCGCTGGGCCCGTGCCTGGCTGGCTCTTCCTCAGCCTCATCCTCACGCTGCCTCTCTGAGCTCCTCCCTCCCTCTCTTCCCAGTGAGAAATCTAAGGCTGAGCGCTCAGAGAGTCAGTCGCTTGGTAACTTTGTAACTGTCTGGGCAGGTGGCTGTTTCTGGAAATGGATTCTGGAGCCTTGAAGAAAAGTTAACATGTAGAAAGTTTCCGGAAACATCAGAACACTGGAGTTAAAAGTATCCTTCTTCACATCTTGTTCTCTATGGAATTCTCTGATTCTTCTCTATGGAATAATCGTTCTATTTACTTTAAAACTGGTTTTGTTCTGGCGTCACTTCGTTCAAGAGCACACACAAGCTTTTATGTCTTTACTCCATCTCCTCTCCTTCCCTTGTGCTCCAGGTTCGCTATCAGATGCCAGGCACTGAGCTGGGGAGGGGCTGTGGGAAGGGAGCGAGCAGAGAAGAGCAGAGGTCAGGGGTCTGGGGCTCCTTGGCACGGGGAGGAATGTGATTAGCCCTTACACCCATAACCCAACCGCCAGTCAGACGTGATAGAGGCCACGAGAGGTTACGGCAAGTCCCACACGGGTTCAAAGGAGGTGGGTTCCCTGTGGATGGCAGACCTCAGGAGGGACTTCATGGAAGATGCTACATTTGAGATCGATCTTGATGGATGAGTGTGGCTTTTGCTGATGAAGAATTGGAGGGACCTTGGAGAGACAGTGGCCACAGGGGGTGACTAAACAGGTAAGGATGCCTGGAGTGGAGCGTGAAGGGGGGGGGGCGACATATAAGAAGAGTAGGTGTAGAGGGCACAGGCACACGCCGAGACGGAGAAGTCTGCAGGTGGCTTTAGAGCCCATGCTCTAAAGTCGGATTAGAGGGGATCCACAAGTAGAGGACAAGAGACCCATAACGAAGATTCTCAATACCTGTTCAGGCCCCGGAAAATGGGATTCACTGTGGGTACACCAGCAAGGAAGCGTGGATCATGATTCCAAGATCTTGAACCAAGAACGTCAGGAGGAGGGGCAGGTTGGCAAGGACGGAGGTTTGTTTCTTGGTGGCCGGCCAAATGTTGCGTATTGAAACAAGCAAACCCACGTCAGTCCCTTCCTCACAGATTCAAAAACAGGTGAAACTCTGCTCTGGGACATGTGATCTGTACACAGGGGGTGGGGGAGATTGTGGACAACGGTGGAGAGTTCTAGAGAGAACAGGAAGGCCAAGGAGTATCACCTGCCCCACACAGCCACACTCCCCGGTTCCTGGGTACCAGGCCAGAGGAACGACTAGCTCAGGGTCAAGATTTGACGTGTTCATGGAATGCAGGGTAGAAGTGCCAGCAGAGAAGGGGCCAGCCCTAGAGGGCAGCCGATGACTTCGGGTCCTGGGGACTAGCTGTGCACGTGGGCAGACCAGGCAGGTGTTTACAAAGAAAAGGAGAGCATCATAGGTGCTTCGCACAAGCAGAATGCACACACACCCGCACACACATCCACTCACACATGTCTTTACATCTCATTTTTCCCTTTCATAAAATCAGAAGGCAGAGAAAGACACTTGTCATCCTTAGTCCTTTCGAAATGTGGCTGCAGTGACTTGAAGCAGCTGGTTTTACTAACTGCTGTTGGCAGAGGCTGTGGACAAAGGTGGGGCCGGTGGAGGAAGCTGACTGCAGGCCCTGGTACTGAGAGTTCTGCTCTTTGTGCAGCCGGGGGATGAAGGATGTCCTCACTTACAAATAGCAGGTGTCGGAGCTTTGGGGGTCCTGGAACTCTGTAGCTGGGAGGGACTGTCTGTTTAGAGATGAGGTAACTCAGTACCCCTCCGCCCAGAGGTTAACTTGCTTCTCTAAGGCTGAGCACAAGCTTTACCAACTTCTGACTTGGATTCTAGCAAGTTTTTCCTGGTGGCAGACCCTCTGCCTGTCTTCTGCCGGTTCCATGGCACTTCTCTAAGAGTTACCCGCACAAGCCCTGGGAACAACATGACTCACCTTTGGTGGGCTTCGGGGAGAAGGCGAGCAGGCGTGACCAGCAATTCCTGCGTCGCTCTCCTCACCTGCAAGACCCGCTTCGCGGGAGTCAGCAGCCGCTGCATTTTCAGAGGAGCGAGCAGAAAGCCAGCTTATAGACAGTCCTTGGGAGCTGCTCCAGCGGTGCCCCGTCCGGCTTTATACAGCCCTGAGACTCCTGCCCCCGGAGATCACGCCCCTGCTTATCGAGGCTCAGTTGGCTTCTTAAACTGGGCCAAAGGTCTCACTCAGAACATGGGCAAGTCAAAGGAAAACACCTCTCCGACATGTAGGTAGTCCCTGCTCCTGAGCATGTGCAGGAATGCGTGGCTGATTCCTGCTTTCTCACGCTCCTGTGGCAGCCTGCTGTGTGCCCAGCACCTCGGGAGGCTCTGCAAGGTGACTCCACCTGGCCTGTCTCGGACCCTAGCTCCTCCTCTCAGTTACTCTCACTCGGTGGTCCAGCCTGCTCTCTGTGCAGTGAGCTGTTATTGTTTTAATGTCTTATGCATAATAAGGTAACTCCTTCAAAACCAAAAGGAATGAATCTTTTAATAGTAGCCCTTTAAGTTGGGAGTCGGTGTTGGCACATAGGCTGGTATCGGAAGGGTATGGAGCCTGCAGGATTTCTCTTTTTAGTTTTCATCCTCACCCGAGGATATGATTTTATTGATTTTAGAGGGAGAGGGAGAGAGAAACATTGATGTGAGAGAGAAACATCGATCGGTTGCCTCTCACTTGCACCCTGAATGGGGATCGAACCTGGAAACGTAGGTATGTGAGGGTTCTGCTGTGGGAGGGGAAGGGCCAGAGCCGCTGGGGATTTCGTTCCTGGTTAACCAATCTCTTACTTGGCAAGTCTTGCCTTTGTGATTGTTTAGGGCAACATTTAGGCCAACAGTTTTGTCAGGGAGGACCTGAGGCTTTAGGTAATGTGAATAGATTTTTATCTAATTAGGGGAAAGGGGAAAGAGGATGGAGCCTGACGGAAATTCTCAGAAGAAAAACATCTGGAGCACTTGGCGTTTTGCTGTTTCTCCAGTTTCACCATTCCAGGTGTGACCTTGTTTTGAGGACACCGTCCAGGGAACACAGCTGCAGTCTCACAGAGAGAAGGTTCACTTTTCACACGGGGGAGACACAGTGTAGTGACAGTACGACTCTCGGTAAGCAAACCCTGGCATCGTCTGTCAGCCCTTCCCTAGCATTTATCATCAGTTTTCACCTCCACAGACATTTAAATGGTTTGGAAAAAATTACATGCTTACAGTCATTTTATGTCAATAACAAATACTATGCCACAAAGTAACCAATTTACATAAGCGATCTCCTTGGCTTTTCTTTGAGGTCTCAGACTTTTTTTTTTTTTAACTTTATTTATTTATTTATTTATTTATTTATTTATTTATTATCCTCATTCGAGGACATTTTTCCATTTTTCGTTCAGATAGAGTGGGAGGGGGGGAGAGAGAGAAACATCAATGTGAAAGGGACACATTGAGTGGTTGCCACCTGCACAACCCAACCAGGGCCAGGGACAAACTGCAACCGAGGTACATGCCCTTAGCGGGAACTGAACCCGGGTCTCTCTGGACTGCAGGCCAACGCTCTAACCACTGAGCAAATCCGGCCAGGGCCAGACTTTTGTTGATAGATAATTGGCATATTTAATATTTGCATAGCATTGATCAAGTCAAACTTTTGTCTGCTTAGCAATATGGCTGTTGAATGCTTCTTCCCAAATCAACCCAGAATGCACTAGAAAAATAAGTAAAGCATGAATTGAAAGAACAACTAAAAAAAAAAAAGCTGTGAGAGCCCTGGCCCATTTGGCTCAGCCATTAGAGCATCAGCCTTCGGACCAAAGAGTCTCGGGTTCGACTCCAGTCGAGGGCATGTAGGTCAGGTGTGGTTTGTCCCCGGCCCTGGTCAGGGTTGTGCAGGAGGCAACCATTCAATGTGTCCCTCTCATGTTGATGTTTCTCTCTCTCTCCCCCCCCCCCCCCCCCCCAGTTGAAGATAAATAGAGAAATATCCTCCGGTGAAGAATAAAAAAAAAAAAAAAGCTGTGAGAAATCCCTGAGGAGTCTGAAGGATGCCCTAGATGGGAATGGAGGCAGAGGCAGGGATAAGGTTGGAAAGGGGGTTGGAGCCTGGGGTGGGGGATGGAGGGGGCAGTAGAAGGAGGGACATGGTAAAAGCCCTGCCCTGGTGCCCAGTTCATGCACAGCCTGCAGATCGGCCAACCACACTCAGAGGATCTCTATAACAATCCTCCATTCTCAACCCCCCAAACTGATGGCCCAGCAACATATTCCTGATGCCATGGTTTCCTAGCAGTTTAAATGTGAAACCTTGGTCAGGGTGTCTCCTGGTGACATGGCAGCAAACGGGGTGATCAATACAGGGCTTGTTCCCAACCCTCACCTGAAGTCTACACACACCAGGGCCAGGCCTTCAGTGTTTGCCCAACCCAGCACCAGAGGACAAGAACGCGCACCAGAGGGGAAGAACGCGCACCAGAGAGCAAGAATGCGCACTGGAGGACAAGAACGCACACCAGAGGGCAAGAACGCGCACCAGAGGACAAGAACGCGCACCAGAGGGCAAGAACACGCACCCGAGGGCAGGAACGCGCACCCGAGGGCAAGAACACGCACCAGAGGGCAAGAACGCGCACCAGAGGGCAAGAACGCGCACCAGAGGACAAGAACGCGCACCAGAGGGCAAGAACACGCACCAGAGGGCAAGAACGCGCACCCGAGGACAAGAACGCGCACCCGAGGGCAAGAACGCGCACCCGAGGGCAAGAACGCGCACCCGAGGGCAAGAACGCGCACCCGAGGGCAGGAACGCGCACCCGAGGGCAGGAACGCGCACCCGAGGGCAAGAACGCGCACCCGAGGGCAGGAACGCGCACCCGAGGGCAGGAACGCGCACCCGAGGGCAGGAACGCGCACCCGAGGGCAAGAACGCGCACCAGAGGGCAAGAACGCGCACCCGAGGGCAGGAACGCGCACCCGAGGGCAAGAACGCGCACCAGAGAGCAAGAACGCGCACCCGAGGGCAAGAACGCGCACCAGAGAGCAAGAACGCGCACCCGAGGGCAAGAACGCGCACCCGAGAGCAAGAATGCGCACAACGCAATAAGGATACTTTGACGACCATAAATGAAAGACAGCACACTGAATGACACATACCACCTGAAACAGAATTTCTGAAAACAGACCGAGAATTTAAAGTAATCATCCTTTGTGCCTAAGAAAGGAAAGGAAGATTTCATACTTGAAGGCACTAATAAGAATCTGTAGGGGAGGAAAATGATTTTCCCTTTACTCTCTAGGTTCTTGGCTGAGACCTCCCTATAATAAAAGACAGATTAACAGGAGAAAAACAAACAAGTTGAATAACATGTCTAACTCCTGTTTATATGAGAGAGACCCAGGAAAACTGAGTAAAACTCTCTAACATGGCCAAAGCCATTATCTTAAATACCATCTTCAGTTAAAGACAAAAGAAAGGTCTTTTTGTAGAAAAAAAAAACATTGAACAAAATTCAACTCCTATCTTTACTGTAAAGTCAGCAAACTAGGACTAGAAAAGAACTTGTGCCCTGGCCAGTGTGGCTCAGTGGGTTGGCACCAAAACATTTCCAGTTCAATTCCTGGTCAGGGCACAAGTCCGGGTTGCGGGCTCATCCCAGGTGAGGGGTAGTGGAGGCAGCTGGTCGATGTTTCGCTCACATTGATGTTTGTCTCTTCTCTCTCCCCCTCCTTCCTCCTCTCTCTCTAAAAGTCAATGAAAAATATTTTTTTAAAAAGAAAAGAACTTTAAAAACTTGTTAAATGTTACATTTAAAAATATACATATACCACCCTGGCCCGTTTTGGTCAGCAGATAGAGCGTTGGCCTGTGGTCCAGAGAGACCCGGGTTCGGCTCCCACTAAGGGCATGTACCTCAGTTGGTTTGTCCCTGGCCCTGGTTGGGTCATGTGGGTGGCAGCCACTCGATGTGTTCCTTTCACATCGATGTTTCTCTCTCTCTCTCCCTCCCACTCTATCTGAACAAAAAATGGAAAAAATGTCCTCGGGTGAGGATAAAATAAATAAATAAATAAATAAATAAATAAATAAATAAATATATATATTTAAATGAGAAACGTTAATTTAATATCAGAAATAAGACGAGGATGACCACTACTGTTTATCACACTGTGCTAGAGAGTCTGGTTAATGCTATTAAAAAAGAGAAATGATAGTTGAATGGATTGAAGAGAATATATACAATATTATAATTTGCAGATGATATATTTAGTTTCCTAGGAAACTCAATGAAAATTAATAAAATATATGAATGAAAGAAAGGATTCAATAAAATTGTCAGAGACGTCAATTAAAAAAATTAGCAGTGTTCCCTACATTAGTATTAACGAACTCAGAACTATGAAAAAAGTGAATCCAATTAACAATAGCAACAAAAACTATATCATATCTAGAGATTAATGTAACCAAGACTATGTAATACCTCTATGGAGAAACTTTTTTTTTCCCCATATTTTTGTTCAGATAGAGTGGGAGGGGGAGAGAGAGAGAGAAACATCGACGTGAAAAGGACACATCGAGTGGTTGCCACCCGCACGACCCAACCAGGGCGAGGGACAAACTGCAACCCAAGCACGTGCCCTTAGCGGGAACCGAACCCGGGTCTCTCTGGACCGCAGGCCGATGCTCTAACCGCTGAGCCAAACCGGCCAGGGCTGGAGAAACTTTTAAAATTTGAATAAACAACATAGAAAATTATCTGAAAAAAAACTGAGAAACAGTCTATGCCATTGAATGGCACAAATTAATATTAGGAAGATATTTATTTTTCCAAAATTCATTCCCGATAAAATTTCCAGTTGGATTTTTTGAGGAACTTGATTATTTTTTCTGAAATGTATATATTTTTTAAAAGTTTCAGAAATGACCAAGGTAAACTTGAAAAATAGGAACAATGAGGGAGACTTCTTCCAGGTATACGAGTCCCAGTAATAAAAATAGTGTGGTTTCTGGTGCAAGAACAGGCCAGTGGCATACGATAGAGTACTCAGCAGCAGACTCGTGCCAACATGGAC